CCGTACCGAACATACAGCGTTTTAGGCCAGCTTCAAAGGACTTATCATCGCCTCCCCGACGAGTCAAGGAGGCACCATCCGCAACCACACACCGGATGGTCTGGATTGATGGATCAAATACTCCATCGCTCCAGTGCCGAGGCCAACCCGCCGAAGCGGATTGCTTTTTAGACACCCACAGCGGAGTGGCCAGGTGAATGTGACTCTGACCACTACGCTATCACGCTTGTACGTCTGGCAGCGTGTTGGACGACGGGTTTGAGTTGCACTGGGAGGAAGGCGGTCGAAAAATGTAATGAAATGATGGGATTCGATCCCCGGACCCCGCCACCGGGATCACACGACTTTATGCTCTCGGCCACCACGGCCCGTGATGAGGGGACCGGCGTGAGGTGGGTTCTTGAAGCAACAGGACTCGACCGACCCGGTCAAAATTTCGCAAGAAGTTTGGGGGAGTCGAACCGCCGACCCTAGCATTGGGAACCGACGCCTCTACTCCCTGGACCACCACGTCCCATGCACGGAGGGGGCTCACGTTCACGGGTTTCAACCGCACTGGGTGAGGCAGTAAAATTAAATGGAAATATTTGTTAGGAGTCGAACCTCCGGCATGTGGGTCTGTTGCATACGACTCCGCTCGGATGGCCTCGAACCACCACCCTTCGGATAGTAAGTCGAAAAAACGTATGTGACGCTGGTATTCGAACGCCCGCCTGCGGTAACTCGATCCCACGTCTCTAACCTCTCGGCTATCACAGCAGTTGTGAAACACGACGGATCATCTGCTTTCATTAACGTTCGTTGAATGAGCTTTTTTTTTTTTTTTTTTTTTTAATTTTTTTTTCGCAGTGTGTCTGATTGTGGCGCTGCGCCGCCGGGCGGACAAGGCGGACTCGGTGACGGTGACAAAAGGCAGTGCGATGTTGAGTGTTCAGCACGGCGCTCCAAACTTCCTCTCATCCGCCCGCGGGGCCCGCGCCCGTCGTTTAGTTTCGAGTTGGGAAGCGAGAAGGCATCGCGAATCTGACAAGAAGGACGCCAACAAGAGTGCGTCTCTCTCATTTGTCTCGTGTTTGCAGCCGGGAGAGATATGCGCCCCGCGGACACCCGCACCCGCCCACTCGCCGACTGCCTCAGGCCCTCCACGTGCCTCGCGCCGTCTCTCTCGCACCCCCGCGAGTCCCCACGAGTCGTCACGAGTGCGAGAGAGACAGACGTCCTCAGCGTCCGCCACGATTTGCCTCTCCTCTGGCGGCGGTGGTTTTGACTCCGAATTGCCCCCCATCCCCTTCCCTCGCCGCGGAGACGCGGATCGTTCGCTTTTATCTCGTCCTGATTGGCGGGGGTAGCGTCTGCGGCACAGTGTAGTGACGTCACAAAGGCGGGTCGTAATTGTCTATTTTCTCCCTCCGAGTGATGAAAGCGGCGTCTCTTTTCTGCCCTCTTTTGCCGCCTTTGCCGCACCGCACGTAGATGTGGGCGAGGGTCTCCACTGTATCGGACCTGGGATACCTATCCTGCTTGCTGTGACACCAGTCAGCCTGTCGCGAGTGGCGTGGTCCGTAAACGGAGAACCTTGAGTCGACTCTCGTTTCCCCCTCGGGGTGCAAGAGTGTCTCACGTCAAAGACGTCGTCGTCAGACGTTGCTGATAATCGATTTGGAAGTATTCCCTGCCTCTAGAAATTCGCCCACCGTGATGTCATTAGCGGGCTGTCGAAGCACTGGGATTGCGCTACTGGGATACCAGGACGACTATTTCGCCTTCCAGACCGATCCGCTCCTGATTGGACAATGGGATCACCCCCTCCCCCTCCCCCCGAGTCAGCCGCTCGACCTCCGCATGCGTATCTCCATCCTGTGGGGCCTGTTCTGTCATTGATACAGTCGGAGGAAGAAAGAGGACTCCCCTTTTTTTCCCCAGCCGTTCCTCTTCGCTCCGCTCTCGCTCCGCTCTCGCTCCGCCTTCGCGTCAGGGACTTGGCTCTAATCTAGGGAGAGGTCCCGAGGGAGGCAGCAGCGGATCCGGCCAGCCATCCCGACCAATCCGACCCCTCGACAAGCCATGTGACGTGATTTCCGATTCAGGGAGCGGGACGGGGAGGGGCTGCGGCGGACGGACGGACGGACGGACAGACAGACGGTCCGTGGCGGAAAACTGGGACGCTATGCAGGAGCGGGCGATAGTCGCACGTCTTGTTTCGACGTGAGAGTGAGTGCGAGAGAGAGAGAGAGAGAGAGAGAGAGAGAGAGAGAGAGAGAGAGAGAGAGAGAGAGAGAGAGAGAGAGAGAGAGAGGGTGTGCCACCTGAGTGGTGACACAAGGTCCCCAGCAGCAGAGGCTAAGGAGGAGCCCCTTTCAAATGCAATTTACATCACTCACGACCCTTGTGGCCTGAGCGAGGGCCGGGGCACCCTAGAAGCCGTCACACTGGCGCAAGAACCGCCCCCGGGGGGCGGCGGGGGCGGCGGGGGCGGCGGGGGCGTGTTCAACTAGACTGCCTAACGGACCGTTTCGACGAGAAGCCACGAATGAAAGTCATGCAGGGCGAACTGGGGCAGCCGGGTGCACCCGCTTTCACACACACACGCACACACACAGTGCGAGATGGGCAGGAAGATATGCCGGGACCAAGTTTGCGTAAGCGGTTTTCGTCCAAACAAGCGGAGCAGCAACATGTGGCGCGCGCGGCGGCGGCCTGGCGTCGTGTTTTACTTGCATATTATTACATCAAGGGGCCACAGTGCCGACTGCTCTGGCGCGTGGTGGGGGAGGGGGTTGGCGTTCTGCGGTGTGCTCGTCGACGGCGACCTCCACCCCGCCCCGCCCCGCCATGCATGCCAGCAGGCACTCGGAATCTTAAGCACCCGGCGATATTTGAGTTTGAGCAACTTGGCGGCCTCGGTTCTTTCAAGTCGAGTCCTTCTCTCGGCTCCGCGGGGCTGCGCGGGGCTCCTCGCCGAAACCCTGGCTTGCCCTCCTCCCGCTGTGCCGTGCGGCTAGACTACTTTCGCCGTGTTGTTTTGCTGCAAGGTCCCGCCGGTCTGGTTGCGTGGTCGACGTGGACGGGACTGGACCGGTTAGGTCACGGCGTCCGCCGCGTCGCGTGTTACGTGAGTTGGTGGACACCCCTACGCCCCCTCGTTCCAGGCCGTTCCAGGCCGTTCCAGGCCGTTCCAGGCCGTTCCAGGCCGTTCCAGGCCGTTCCAGGCCGTTCCAGGCCGTTCCAGGCCGTTCCAGGCCGTTCCAGGAGCGGGCTTGCGGGCCCTGCAGGTGCTGCCCAGAACAGAGAGGCCGGCTCGGAAACAGCAGGAAGACATGAAAGCTCGTAGGCTTCTCATGCCTTTTTGATGAGGCCCCCCCCCCTTTCCCCCTTCGCTGGGACGGGACCGCACTTTGAATGCAGGGGCGCGGTTTCTTTAAATTTGCGGAATGAAGTGAAAGACGCTACTTACGGAGGCTAGCTTATGCTGGGCCCGACCCTCGACCCTCGGCCGGGCCGGGGGTCAAACTGGGGTCTCTCGCCTTAAAAAAAGGCGGAAAAAGAGCAAAATAAATGGGGTGTGCTTTGGGATTTGAACTCGGGCAGATTTGTCTGCCACGAAGCCCAGATGGCGTTTTCACAGTCGTGCATCTATGCGGCTGAGCAAGTTGAGTCGCTGGTTGCTTTTTCTTCGGACTTTTGCAACAAAAAAAAACCATAAAAATAAACGCTCTTGTATGATTTTTTTTTGCCGCCTTTTAGGCGCGAAGTAGCCTCATTTTTATGTGACCTTTGTCGGGCGCGCAGAGTGCCGGCACGTGCGGTGCCAAGCCACACCTCTTTGCCGAACTTTGCCGTACCGCTGAAAGCCGAAGGCGGCCGAAGGGGTGCCGACGCCCTGCCAGCACCGCCAGCCCCGCCAGCCGCGCTGATGGCCAAGTTGACGGCGGGGGACCGGGGGACCGGGGGACTACGGAATACGAGGTGGGACGCACCGCCGAGACAAAAGTTTTGCAATAAATTGAAATTGGCCCGGGGCGGGCGGGCCGGGCCGAGCATTTGTATTTGTTCAACAGAGACACGGGGACCGCTGCGCGCGGCGAGCGCTGCGAGGCGTGGTCGCGGCACGGCGGCGAGCTGGGCCAAGGGCTCGGCGGCTCGGCGCTCCTCTCCTCGCCGGGGGGCATCCATAAGTAACGAGATGGGGGAAGTCCCGGTGCGCGCCGTGTATTAGGCACAGAGCGCGCGGAGTGACGGGGTGCTCGCCGTTGACGCGCGGCCCCCAGCCCACTGTGTCTCTGTCACACTGGCGGGGCGCCGCGGGACGGCGCGACAGAGACGGAGGCGCGTCCTGGCGGAGCGGGCAGAAGCGGGCAGAAGCCGTGCGGTAATGCAATTACAGCACAGTCCGTCCGCGGACAAGGGGCTCATGGCGGCGCAGCGAGGGCGCCGTCGAGCACGGCGTGGAGCACGGCGTGGAGCACGGCGTGGAGGGCTCCGGGAAGTTGCGCCGCATCCGGATTTGTTTGAAGGTTGTTGCTGTATAGTCTGCACAGGTAGTGGCCTACCCGAGCCGGGCCGAGCCGCGCCGAGCCGCGCGAAGGCACCAGTTCCACCAGACTTGGCTCCAACTTAGTCATTGTGTAACGAGGTTGCCATGGCCGCGCCGGGCTCCGCCTAGCCCGCCACTCCAGTCCCTTGATGTACCGCCGGGCCGTGCAGGGTGCGCCGTGCCGCCGTGCCGCCGTGCGCGGACTCGCAAACCAGGTTAGGCTGCGCGAGCGCCGCGCTGTGCTCACCGAGTCGCCTCCGTGGCACCACACCCGGGAGTTGGCGGTCGCGCCACCGCCGTGGCTATCCAGTGTCCACTTCGAAGGCGCACTCCTTCCCCGCCTGGAGGCGCCTGTGCCGCGCACACACGGGCGTACTTGCTTTGTCGGGGAGGAACCCAGCGTCGGGTTTCTTCGGGTTCCTCCGCAACCCCAAATTAATTCTCCCTTTTTCTCCTCTGTTTGCAGTACATCGGCAGCATGGACGTGCCCAGGCCCTCCAGCCGCGTGGAGATCGTGGCCGCCATGCGGAGGATCCGGGTAAGTGGGGCGGTAATTAATTATTGGCTGTAATTTATCGGGATCCGTGGCGGGAAAACAAGAAAACGCGCCGCTCCCCCAATTAGATTGTCCCCTCCGGCCGGCCGCGTCGTGCGGCCGCTTTTGTCCGGGGAATTAAAAACCGGAGGATGGCCGCTGGAAGGGGAGTCGGCGTTCCATTCCGGGAGTCAGGTGGCTGCGGCTCTGAAGGGTGCCGGCACCCCTCAATACGCGTCTAGAAGTTTGACCGCCTCCACCGGTCTTCTGACCCACTGTGTAGCTGGGTCGGCTGGGGCGCCCCGCAGAGGCCCCGCAGAGGCCCCGCTGGGGTTCGTCTGGCCACGCGCCGCCGCCTCGCAGCCACACTCCATGGCTGGATGGATAATTATTATGTAATTAAATCAGAAGGCTGCCGACGCGGGGGGGGGGGGGCTGCCGGTGCGGCGGGTAAGTTTAGCGGATTAATTGATTTGTTCCGCGGTAACGGATACACTGCGTGGTCGCGCCCGGTTATTTTTAGCTTGTTTTTCAGCAGCCGTCCGAAAAAAAAAAACAAAGACAAAAAAAGAGCTTGAAAGTATTATAAAGGGGATACTGTCTTTCTTGTTTTTCTTTTTTTTTCTATTGTGTTGTGCCGATGTTGTTTTCACTGACCCATGTGTTTGCCCCGGGCCTGTTGCAGTACGAATTCAAATCGAAGGGAGTGAAGAAGAAAAAAGTGCTCCTGGAAGTCTCGGTGGACGGCGTGCGCGTGTCCCTGCGGAAGAAGAAGAAGGTGGGTGTCGCTGTTGTTGTTGTTGATGATGACGTTGGGCTTCTGCACGAACGGCGAAGACGTGAGACGAAAAAACAAACAAAATCAATAAAAACTGTTGTTGTTTTTTTCCGCAGAAGAAGCAGTGGATGGACGAGAACGGCCTGCTGCTGATGCACCACCCAATCTACAGGTCAGTATCTCCCCCCCCCTCCCCTCCCGGTCGTGCTGGGCCCTGCCCGGCCCTGCCCGGCCCTGCCGTCAAGTGGCGGCGCTCTGTTCGTTGCGTCGTTGTTGTGACGGCGCGCGGTTCATTCATGCCGCGAAAGGGCCCTTGATGCCTTTGACCCACCCGGCCCCACCCGGCCCGGAGCAGCCCCAAGCCAAGCGGGAAACTTTGTGTCGTGCGGTCCCCGGGGGACGGGGGCCCCCGGGGGGTCCGGGGGCGTGGGAGCGAGGTGGCGTGTGCGGATTTACACCGCCAAGTTGGGAAATAATGGCGGAATGGGTGTGCCAGTGTATTGATGGCTTTTGACAGTTTGGCCGCGCCGGGCCGCGCCGGGCTGCGCGATACAGAACGCACGGTGGGAACAGATGTGGCTTGCCTGGGGCTTGCGTGGGGCTTGCCCGCCGCCTGGAGGCCCTGGAGGCCCTGGAGGGGCTTGATGGCCTGGAGGTCACGGTCGTGGAGGGAGGCCCCCGGCCACGGCACCGCAAAAGCCAAGCCGAGACCGCGAAATATCCGCCGCCATTTCTCAGGCCGTGGAGCAGGCAATCCGGACACGCCCTCACCGTGTAAAGCTCCTCCTTTTTTCCGTCGGTGAGGCGGCGGGCGGGATTCGAACCGCGAACCGCCATGAAAGCGTAATGCGCGCGGAGGCCGTCGAGGCCCGCGGAGTGGCGGCCGCCGAAGTTAGGAAATTGGCGACCCAGGCCAAGACGGCAGTCGAAGGCAGTCGAAGGCAGCCGCGCGATGCCGTGTCATTTATTCATCCAGGTGTCGCTCTGTCTCTCTCGCACCCCGACGGCCCGACGGCACGCCCCACGAGTGCGAGAGAGACGGCGCGTTTGACGCGCAGCGCGGCGAGCGCCCGGCAGGTAGGCCGCGTCGCCGCGGAGCGCGCGCCGCCGCGCTGCGGGACGGCCTACCCCGCGCTCGTAAGGCGCTCCCCGCTGGCCGCAGCGTTATCTCTCGTCTCTCTCGCACCTGCACGCGGCGCCCAGGGCGCCCGCGAGAGCGAGAGAGACGGAGACACTCGCCGCGCTGACGGCCGTTTCGTGCCGAGGAGGCCGCAGAGTCCGTACTCCGGATGACGAGCCTGGCTGGCCTGGCCGGCCTGTCAGGCGGAGGACGTCCTGGGAAAATGGGCGGGCCGCCCTCGGAAAACACCATAAAGCGTCCACCGCGCACCGTGCAGTCGGCGAGGGACTCCAAGGGGAAGCGGACGTAAAAGTGTCTCTTTTCGCGTTTTTGTTTTACCCTTGTCGTTTTACAATGCCCGCTGCTGCCACACTGTAGCGCGCTGGACTTTGTCCGAATTTGCCCCACACGACCGACCGCTGCCGCGGCTGGAGTAGTCATCGTGGCCGTGCCTCTCAGAATGGACTCCCGCACTGTAGTTTATCGCATTGTGCGTGGCAGCAGTGCTACCAACGTTACTGCGTCGTTTTTATTTTTCGTTTTGCGTCTCTTTGCTTTTTTTTTGCGACGTGCCTCTCTGCTCTGCGGTCGTTTACCAGTGGCCCAGCAGTGTCCCTGCGAGGTACATTACCGACTGGCTGGCTGCCTGGCGGGCTGGCACGCTGGCTGGGTCCCTTGTGCGTCGCTCCCCCGAGTCCCCCAGCAGTTCCGATGCAAATGATCTTATCGAAAATGACATAACACGGCTAATGTCGATTTCGGGGCCCGTCCGGAGATTTACCGCGCCGGCGGCGGTGCCAAGAAATTGGCGAATCGGTCCGACGGACGACAGTGGCGGAGCCAACCGGAGAGATATGCAAATAGGTCGATTTATTTTTATTTTATTTTCGGCCGGGCGAAACGACGGCAACAGGGGGAAAGCTGAGCCAGGGCAACGCGAAAAAGAAGCGGCGCGCTCCACCAGAAGGCAGCACACTGTAACGACCCGTCTCTCTGTTGCAGAATATTCTACGTGTCCCACGACTCGCAGGACCTCAAGATCTTCAGCTACATCGCCCGGGACGGCGCCAGCAACGTGTTCCGCTGCAACGTGTTCAAGTCCAACAAAAAGGTGAGCGCGTCTCCCCGGGCCATTAGGACCGGCTAACGACCGACCGCCCGGACCCAAGGCAGCAGCCCGCCTCTCTTGACGGACTCGCCCGGGGCGAGCGAGGTGCTTACTGCATTGTTTACCGCTGGTTCGCGGGCATTACCGACCGGCTGATAGATGGACTCGGGCTGACCCAGTGGCCGGAGACGCGAACGCCGAGGAGGCCGACGAGGGGCTTTCAAGGCGCCTCACAGTGGGCCCCGCTCTGTCCCTCCCCCGCCCCTGCGGCGATACTCCCCGCGCCAGGCGCCGCCCCGCGCGCGGGGTAGCGCCGCGTAGCGCCGCGTGTGGTTGCGGTGTACCGGTCGTGCCGCCAGGGGGCGCCAGCGGCCCGTCGTGTCGCCACGCACGCGGCCACGCACGCGGCGCAGTGCTCACGCGCGAACCAGGAAGCAGCACGCCGACGACACCCCGACGCACGCGCGTGCGTGTGACCGACAGGCACGGCTCTGGCCTACGCAAACTTCGCGCCCCACAGCCCTCTCGCCCACTCCGACCACTCGCTGTCGAAACACAACGAACACAACCCGCACGACTCGATGTGTGTTGGTGACACGCTGTCAGATCACGCGCGGGTTGAGACACCTGTCAAAGGAACGTTTCGCCAAAGAAACATTGCAGTGTGCTCGGCCGGGAAAAAGTGTCACAGCGGGTGGGTTTTGAACCGCCAACCCCGCTATTGGAAGGCAGGTGCACGAGTTCACTCGGACACCCGGAACCGAAACAGCTTCCGCGGTAAACGGAAGGACCGTGGTTCGAGTCCCGGTCGAGGCTGCACTTTTATGTGCGCTCTCCTCGCGTACTCGGACGCGCCGTTGCCACCCTTGACCTCCGCGACCCCGTGCAGCGCGGCGGGCGTGCATGGCGTCGCGCCGTCGCCACGCGCTGGCCGCCAAGAAGCCCCCTCTCGGCCTCCACAGGTATCGAGACGGTTTAATTGCGAGTCGACTGACTGGGGCAGGTGCGCGCAAGGCCGACTTGCTGCCTTTTTTCTGCCGTCTCTCTCGCACTCGCGGCGGCGCGGCCGGGGCAGGGCGGCCGGGTTGAGGGTCGTAGTCAATATAAACCCGCGGCCGACGGGGCAGCGGGCCGGCGGGCCGGTGCATTCAGGCCGTTGAGGCTGAACTGCCGGTGGCAGTGCTCGCCCAGTATTTATATCGACAAGGGTGGCGGGCGGGGCGGCGGGCTATTCTCGGGGTGCCGCCTTGTGTTCTTGTTCCCCGGACAGACGGACGGACAGACAGACGGACAGAAGGACGGACAGCCCTGTCTGTTCTGGCCGCGCTTCTTGTTATGACGCCGTAGTGGCGTGGTGGCTGTGTCGCTGCGTGAGAGAGAGAGAGAAAGAAAGAAAGAGGTGACGTCACGGTCTGTCCGCTTTGAGGCGCATCCAGGGGCTGAGACGGGCCCGGGCCTGTCGGTAGTGCGGCACGCGGCCACACAGTGCCACGCGGCCACCACACTTACAGCGGTGTTTGGCGCGTGGGGCCGTGATACACACACACACACACACACACACAGCCTTTGCCATGCTATGTACTTCTAGTGTAGGAGAGCCCCTCTCGCATGCACGCTTGAATGAGTCGCGACACACACACACAGGCACACACGACAAATTAAGCTGTTTGGGAGGGTGCAGCATCACATGCTTGCAAGCGTGTGTGTATGAGTCTGTGTGTGTGAACGGCCTGCTTGGCCACCCGCTCGTAATGCTTTAAGAATTCGAAGCTCCTCTTTTTTGGCTTGCGTGCGAGGATGGGGCAGTGGATTTTTTTGTTTTCGGGGTGGGGGGAATAAAATGGCACCGTGAGTGTGTGTTGCGCATCACCCGTTTCTCAGATTTACTGCCAACTTGCATATCTCGGTGGGACTGGGCGTGGCGCGGCTCGGCTGCCAAACCCTCGGAGGTGAGGGTCTCAGAGTCTCGGCCGCTCGCGGTGAAATATATGGCGCGCTCTTGCTGTTGTTGCTGCTCGCTCGCGACAGTAGTATAGTATCGCCTTGTTGTTTTGTTGTTGTTTTTTCTTTCTTTTTTTCTCAACTGTCCAAGGGCGTTGCGTGCGATTAGAGTGTGTGTCTGGGATTCGTGCTTCCCGGTGTGTTTGTGTACTACGGCGTCGGCCCCACCCCGCCCCCGCCCCGCCCGGCCCTCAAACGAGTCTAGTTTTTACGATTCTGACGATGACGAGGCTGGGAGAGCCCTCGCTCCCGCTCGGCCGCCTTCAAAGATCAAATGGATCATCTGACGCGTTTACGAGGCCGGCTAAGTCAAGAGCGAGGAGATTACGGCGGCGGGGCGCGGCCCCAAGGTGCCGACGGCAAGGTGCACGACGGGGAGGTCTCGAAGGGCGCGACCCTGGCCGACCAGTTAAGCCAGCGGTGGCGGAGAAGAGGCACCACTTTGTTGACATCCCCTCTACACAAAAAAAAATATCACTTTCGAAAATAACGGTTTCAGATACGATCGCACCTGGCGGGATTCGAACCTTGCACTTCACACTTTAGAAGTTGTCACTCTAACCATTGCGCTACAGCCGCGGTGCTTATCGGATGGGGTCGATATCTGGCCAATATCTCCGAGCGCGCGGCGCTATCTGCTCGCCCTGCCGGGGCCGCAACGCCCCGCAACGCGCTGCCCCGCAGCTCGACGATGACGTCCACGGCGATGTGCTTCATGCCGTGCTCTGGCGCGGGCCGGCCGGTCCGACGACTCAAGCGGCCATCCTAGTGCAAGATGGCCGGATATGAGACGCCTGGCGCGGCACGGCCAGGCACGGCCCGTGCGTGCGAGAGAGAGGGAGAGAGCGGCCGTGTGTGTGTGTGTGTGTGTGTGCAAGTGCGCGCGCCTGGCCAATGTTCTAGGAACCACACATCCCAGATCCCACCGCGGCCGCCTCGGCCCGCCTTGGCCTTACACTCGCCGCCCCGCGCTTCCGCGGAAAACTTGCATCCCTGCCGGGACAGTACCGTCGCTCTGTCTGCTCTGTCTCTCTCGCGCCCTTACGCCGCGCCCCATGAGTGCGAGCGAGACAGAGCGACGACGGACGCGCCGTTGTTGGGAACCAACCTGCAGCAAAAGGGGGTGCGTCCGTGACGTGGGCAGAACACCTTGGCCGCCTCAAAGTGGGCCTCGTTGAGTGAGGCGGCCCGGGGCGGCGCGGGGAGGGCGCCCTCCCCACCACTCCACCCGCGGCCTCCAGGGGCGTAAAAATCTGTCGTCGCGTGGACCTGACTCGGCGCTGCTCGTCGACATGTAGTGCCAGAGCCGTGCCGGGGAGCGGGCTAAAGGCGGACGCAAGGTATCTCTGCGGCCCGCTCGGCCTGGTCGGCGTGCTCGGGGCTTGGCAGGGCGACGACCTGGTCTGGTGGTCGCGGTGTTTCGGTCTGTCGCTGCGGCAAAGACAACGGAGAGAGTCTCGGACAAAGAGGCTGCCTCTGCACATTACGTGAGAGTGGTGTGTGGCTGCTCGATTGCAATTATGTCATCACCATTGTGTAATTCCCTAGAAATAGTCCGTGTTTTTTGGTTCGAGTCATTCCTTTCCCACACTTGACGACAAATTCAAAGCGAAGTTTCCGTACAAGAAGGTCATTTGCTGTCACGCCCAGGCAATGAGGACGGACCTTTGATGGAGATGTCATCAATCCGTGATAAATTTGTCAACGTTTAAAAGTGTTGCTGTCATAATGTGACAACAAAATTTTAGAGTGTGACTGCGGGGCTGCATCGGTCGGGCTGCCCCTGCGGGTTTGGCCGCGCCAGACTGTGCTGGCTGCGCTTTGGCTGCGCTCGGCGCTTCGCGTATGAAGACGCGGCCGAGGTGTGACAGGGCGCGGCGCGAGGCGCGAGGCGCGGGCTGCGCGGCGTTGGCTGCCTGCCTGGCCGCCTGGCTGCCTGCCTGGCCGCGGCAATGGGCCCCGCCGGCCCGGCCTACCAGTGTAGCGCGGCACGCCGACCCGAACGGCCAGATCAAGCGTCGAGCGTGTGTGTGCGTGCGTGCATGTGTGTCCGCGTCGGGCCGTCGTGACGCCGTCGTCGCGGAGCAACAAGTGCTGGGCGCTGTGGCGGGCGGGACCAGCAGCAGGACGGTCGCCAGGGCCTTGTCCAGGGCCTTGTCCAGGGCCTTGTCCAGCACAGCGGCGCCATGAAGACTGCCGGCCAGCGCTCCTGAGGATGCACGCGGGGATGTGAGCCCGTTGACGGCGAGCTTGGCGGCGCCCTGGTCGCGGTGGAGAGCGTGGGGGTGGTGCCCGGACCGGCCGGGGGCGGCGTGCCGGGGGCCGCGTCGTACGGCCATGCCCTGCTGAAGACAACGGCAGCCCGCCTGCTCGGCCTCGGCCTGGGCCTGGGCCCCCTGGCTGCGCGCGCGCCGCCCCTGCCGCCCCTGCCGCCCCCCATGCTGCGGCCGGCGTCCCTGGGCGAGCCTGCGGGTCCTGCCCTGGGCATGGGGGCCCTGGGGGCGGCCCCCGGGGGCGAAGAGCCGCCCCCGACGCCGACGGACCGGCCGCGGAAGAAGCTGTCGTTCCGGGAGCCCGAGATCATGGGCTACTACATGCAGATGAAGCAGGGCGTCACGTCCAGGCTGTCCCGCCGCGGCAAGAACCGCAGCAGCAAGAGCGCCGCGGACTCCGACAAGGCCGGGGGCGGCGCGGCGCCCGGGGGCGGCGGCAGCAGTGGCGGCGGCACGCCGTCCGCCTCCAGCTCCAGCTCGTGCGTCTCCGGTGGCGACCACCGCGCCACCAACGGCGCGCCCGGTGGGGGCGGCGCCGCGGGGGCGGGCGGCGGCGGGGGCGGCGACGACCGCGACGTCGAGGAGGACTGCCGCAGCATCCGCCTCAGCAGCAGCATGGAGGACCTGGAGCTCGAGGTAGGGTGGGACCCGCCGCGTCCTTCCACCACCGCGATGACGCTTGCCGCCACAAAGGCCGCCCAGAATGAGGTTATGTTGTGCTTTCGGGCGCCAGGGCGGCACCGCGGCAGCGCGCCCAGATGTGTCGAAGGCTGGGCTGTCTGGCTGCGCGACAATGGGACGCGTTCTCTGTCTTTATCTTTGAGGCCGTCGCGCCGCTGACGGGCAGCCTTCAGCCTGCGCCGCCGCGCCGCGGCCCGTCCGCAGGTATGAGAAATCGGGTCATGCGGCGCCACTAGTACACTGGTGCGCACTGGTGCCTGCCGAGACGGTACTTGCCGTTTTACTGCAGGGAGCCTCGAGGACTCGTCGAGGACGCCCACGGCCTGCGACTCCGCGACAAATTATTGCACTGTAAAATCAGCAACCGGTCGCGCCGTTGGACCCCCGCCCCGTGCAGGACGGGGACGCCCTGTGAGTGAGAGAGAGAGGCATCGCGGAATCGCCGCTAATGGCCAGCCCTCCTTGTTGATGTCTGGATCGGCCGACTGCCGAGTGGCCGTCCTGTCCGAGTGCGCGCTGCGGGCGGGGCGGGGCGGGGTGGTCAGCCGGCCGATGCCTAAAGCCTAAAACTGGCCGCGGCGGTGGCGGTGCAGTACCACTGTTTGTAACGCGGCTAAAATCGTCCGGTTTATTTGTGCGTAACCGCGTGTGCGTGAGCCTCTTCCCTCCCCCTCCCCCCTGCCAACCATCTGCAGATGCACCGTCTGGCTGCCCGGCCGGCCCGGCCGTGGATCGGGGGCGGCGCGAGAATAGGCGAGCCGGGCCGGCCGGGTGGGCTGTGCCGGCTGTGCCGGGCTGTGCCGGGCTGTGCGGCTGTGGCCCCGTCCTGCGAGCAGTGTCCGGCCGCGTCGTTGGCCGCGGATGACCCCCAGACACTTCGCCCTGCGAATAGTGTCCAGACGACCCACGACGGCGACCTGGTGGTCTGCCTAGCCCTATTGTCGTGTTCTTATCCGCAACCAACCGCCGTTGGATTAGAGCGCTGCGGGTCGAGCAGGTCTAGCGCGAGTCGAGCCGCTTGAACCGCACCACCGGATCTAAAGTAGTGGCACCGCTGCTTCCTGAGTCATGTTCGCGGCCGTCTCCACTAAATCGAGTGTAAGTGTATCGCGGCCTTGCCCGGTCGTTAGGGGGCTGCCCGGCCTGCCTCTCCGCACCCATGACCTGCGCTGGCTCACACGCCGCGGCGGCCGCGGCGGCCACGCCCCCGCTGGGGCCGCTGGCATGTTTGTTTGCTGGTCCGCCGCACCGCGCCGCACCGCGCCGCCGCGCCCGCGAAGTGGCGGTCGAGTCAAGCGTGATAACGCCCTGATGGCGCTCATCCCCTGCAGCCAGGCGGACAGCCAGCCCAGCGGGCAGCCGAGCGGGCAGCCCAGCACGCCGACCATTCATCAAACTTATCGATGGAATCCATCACGGACCAACGAGCCGCCGGCCTGCCAGCGCGTCTGGCGTGCGTGTCTGCGAGTGTGCTGGTGCGTGCGGTGTGCGTGTCTCTGTCTGGGCCGTTGGAAACAAGTTCGGGCAGCACCCCCCCCTCCCCCTCCCCCTCCCCCTCCCCGGCCGCCGCCGTCCTTGCCGCAAGGCGTTGTCGCACACTTAGTGGTTATTGAAGTCAAGGTTCGCGGCGAGGGGTCTCCGACTCGTCGTACGTGCGCGCGTGCCTGTGTGAGGGCGTGTGTGTGTGTGAGTGTTTGCGCGTGACTGAAAAGAAAAATCCTTGTGCCAAGGTTTCGCTGTTTGCGCGTGCATGACAACTCGTCGCTGCCGCGCTCCGCGCACGGGTGGAGGGCGCTAGCGAGAGACTCGAACGAAATCGCCACCACGCCACTGCTACCCGCTGCAGGCTGGAGAGTCGTACAGGAACGACATCAGCTCAAAGCGCGTCTAGAGTTTTGACCGCCTCCACCGGTGTTCTGGCCCACTGTGCGTGCTCGGCCTGCTCGGCCTGCTCGGCGACGCGCACGCGGTTGGAGGTAAACACGCGGCTGGCGGCGGGATCGCCGCGGCTGATTTACTCCCGGCCTCCTTTGTGTGCGGGGGGAAGGGGTGCGCGATGATGGGTGGGGGCGCGGCGCCGCGAGGGAGAGTTGTGGCCGCCGTGCCGAACCACCACTCACCCGCCGTCACATTTGAAGCGGCGAAGCGCTCGGCGGGGCGGCGCGGCGCGGCGCGGGGAGGAGCCGATTTGTATCCGCCTGGCTGCCAGCTTGACGGGGCGGCGGGGACGCACAGTGGGCCAGAAGACTGGCGAAGGCGGTCCAAATCCCGGACGCGTTTTGAGCTCCAGAGTCGCTAAATGGGACTCGAACCGACCGTGTGACCCCACCAATGGATTGCTCTCCGAACGAGGAATCCTTTGGTGGGGTCACACGTGTAGTTTGAGTCCTGTTTAGCGGACTCTGGAACTCAAAACGCGTCTAGAGTTTTTGCCGCCTGCACCGGCCCACTGTGGGGCGGCCCGCGGAGCCTGCAGGTACGCGTCGTCCCGGAACGCCCGACGACGGCGGGGTAGGCAGCACGCCGTGCTCGTGCGCCGCGGGGCTGCCTACCCCCACCCCTTGCCTCGCCGACCATCGCGGACCGGCTTGTGGCGAGCCAAGTGGCGAATCAAGGCGAACACATGCGGCCACTGGTCCGGAGAGAGAGAGGCCGAGACGCCCTTCGCCAGCTGCAAGTCGTTGGCACAATGGCCGTGTGGGAGCTTCAACCTCCTCTAGAATCCAAGAAGAGGCATCGCAGAAGTCAAACACGCCACAAGCACCAAAAGTTCAAAATACAAAGGCCAGCTGTTGCGGGAGTCGAACCTCGTTCTTCCGGTTTGCCGGTCGACGCCTCTACGCTCTCAGCCACGGTGGCGCTCTCTCCCGCTGGCTCCCTGTCTCCGGCTGGACAGCCTCAAGGCTCAAGGTCGCGCGCGCCGCCGGCGTGGAGGTGTCAGCGGGGAGGTGCAGAGGCCAAACGGTAGTCCGATCCGCGGCGGCGCGGCTTGCCGGTTTATTTTTACCGCGGCGCGTGTTTTCTTTGTGTCGCGGAGGAGGGCCAATGAAATGGCGCGAGATTCGGAAGGCGAGATTGGGGCAGACGGGACCGAGGCAATTACGCCAGGTGGACAGCGTGACCCTCACCTTGCCAGCAACAAAAACTAAAACGAAAAAAAAAAAATTGACCGACCGCGTGTCGACCACAGACCTTCCCGGTCCAAGTTCCGGTACCCTGTCCATGCGGCTACGGAGGCTGACGTGCGGTTGATTGTTGCAGAACCAGGCGATGCGGGTGGTGCGGACGGTGGGGCAGGCCTTCGAGGTGTGCCACAAGCTGTCCATCGGGCCGGGCAGCCCCACGCGGGACCGCGACCACCAGGACCACGACGACCACAGCGAGCGGGACTCGGAGGGCGCCTCGGACAAGACGACCAGGAAAGGTGAGTCCAACAACAACAACTAAAAAATGGCTTTCCGACGAACGTGTCGGTGGGCATTTCGGTGGCGGCGGCAACGCGCGCCTTGGCTGGCTCGGACTCCGCTGACGTCACCAGAACAAAGAGCAGCGCGGGCAGCGCAGCGGAGCGAGAGAGAAACAAAGCTGCCGTCGACGTCTGTCTCTTTCCCACTGACGTCAACGGGCTCTGTCTGCGCGCGCGGCGCGCGTGTGTGGTGGTGTGTTGGTGTAATAAAAGTCGTTCGGCTTAGTGGTCGCTGCCGCGTAAGGACCCTCTACTACCTTTTTTTTGGGGGGGGAGTGTTTTGGAGGCAGGGGGTGCGCAGTACACTATCAAGTTAAGTCAGTGCACGCTCTTCGGACAATTGAAGTCCACTTTTAGAATTCGTAATCGATGGACGTTGTGACGTTCACGCACTCCTGCTGCACCAGTCTTAATTACAGTCCGTAGTCTTGGAAAGGGAAAAGTTGAGTCGCTTGGCGCTTGGTGGAATTGCAGGGGCCGGTGGAGTCGGGCGGCGCGCGGCGCTGCAAGGTATTCCTCACGCGGCCGGCGTGCGGTCCGTGCGGTCGGCGCTAGGACCGCTGCCAACGACTGTGACTCGCAGAGTGGAGCGGCGGAGCGGCGTGGAGGGGACAGGCGGCACGGGGATGAAATATCGTTCCGCGGAGAGTACGTTAAAGGCGCGGACGGCGTACTCGCCGACAGCAGGGAAAGCCCCGACAGCCCGACACACTGCCTTGTTCCGAGTCCCGCTAAAAGAAAAGAGCGCACTTGAGTCCAGCGGCACAGGGCCGCACTGGGCTGCCGCCGTGCGCCTGCGGAACGCAGTGTAGGCAACGTGCGGCGCGCCGGCGTGGCCGCGTTGCCTACTGCGACGGCGTGCTGCCTGGCGCTTGCCTGTCTGTCTGTCTGCCTGGCTGGCGCCTGTCTGCCTGTCTGTCTGTCTGTCTTTCCGTCTACCTGCCTCCCCGCCTGGCGGCTCCGACTACAAAGTCTCGGCAAAGAGGGATGGGGCCCAGGGGGCGATTTGGCGCGGACGTCCCCATTGTCAGCGGCCAGTCCGCGTCTTGGGAACGGCACGGACTTTGAAGGCTCGGGGGGAGTAATGAGCGAGCCGTAGCCTCGCTCCGTCTCTCTCGCACTCGCGGCCCTCGCGGGGCGCGCCGAAGGAGTGCGAGAGAGACAGACTGCAGCAGACGGTCCGGCCGGCCGCACTTGGCGCCGCAAAGTTTCCCTTATAATTACTGACTGAGACTCTGTCTCCCTCGCGCCTCTGCCAGAAGCCCAGTGCGTGCGAGAGAGACAGACCAGCCGGCAGTCTTGCCGCGGCGCGCGTTTTCAGTTTTTGTCGGTCTTTCCGTTCTCCCTCTTTCTCCCAGACCGTTGCCACTGAGGCGTGCGATGGCCATTACCGTTTGAGTGTCGTCGGCGCGCTTCGGCCAAGCTTGAGCTCTCTAGATCCGAGGATCCGAGCGCCCCGCCCGCTGCCTCTCCGCCCCGCGTGGTGCAGGTGTAAGCGCAGCGCTGCCAACATGACGGCCAAACAAATAAATTTGGTGCACGCCGCTGCCGCGGCCGGCGGGGCGGCGAGGTGGGCGTGGAGTGCGCGCGTCACAGTGGTGGCGCTGCGCTGCGCTGCGCTGGGCTGCGTGTTGGCCCTGGCCAAGACCGTCGGCGTCGTGGCCGCGCCCGGCCGCGCGGATTATAATAACGCTGGCCAGGCTGTCGGCCCGTCGCTTGGTCGCCTCGTGATGCCGACTAAGTAGCTTGTGATTTAGTGCTACACCGGCGGCGTGGAAATGGCTCGATTTGTCGGCCAGCCTACATGGCCAGTTGGCACAAAAAAAAAAGAAGAAGCTTGGAAGTCATTGGCCTTGGTTTGTTTGCCCGACGCGGTTTTACGGGCCTGGCGGCCTGGCGGCCTGGTGCGGGGCTTACAGTGTCCCGTCTTCCTTTCTCCCTCGCGACGGCCACGTCACGTCGTCGGCGTCGTCGGGTTGCCCTTGCGGCCGAGGCGTCTGCGGCTCGTCTCGCGCCGTCTGCTGGCCGAGCCTTGGACAGAACGACAAAACACCGGCCTAGGTTTAATATCAAGTGTTGGCAGCCCTGGCCGGCGCGGCGCGGCTAGCCCTGCGCGTGTCACGGCTGTCATGTGACGGCCCGTGACGTCGTCGGGGTGACGTTATTCTCGTGTCTGCGCGGAGAGGGGAGGGGGGGGGCGTTGCAGTGCGCGCTGCCGGGCTGCGCATCACCCTTTGTATGAGTCTTGGCGTGGCGACGTCGCAATTTTTTTGTTGGTGGCGTGGCCGTCTTGCATGCTGGCGCCGCCGGGGACGGCACGAGTTTCGAAACGTTTCTATCGGGATTGCGAAAGAGTGTGGCTATGGCTCATTTTTAGGGTCTCCTTCCTGCGAAGAGGAGAGCTTAGGTAGCTCCGTGGTGCAAGTCCAGCAGCGGCAAGGTCCCGAGGTTCAACACCCTCCCTCCGCAGTATTTTTTTTTTCATTTCCTAATGAATTTACACTCCTCAAAATAAATCATCCAACGCGTTCTCTTACAAAGCGGCCGCCGTGCCGGGCCGGGCCCAGACGAAGGGGTGCGAGCGAGACGAGCAGCAAGGGGACGGGGTTCGCCTGGCGGAGGGAGGAAGAGGGGAGACATAATCACTCATCCGATCCCCAGCCAACAGAAAAAGAAGCCGTCCCGTGCCAAAAGGGCCCAAAGGCCTAGAGCACATGGCCTGCGTGTCGCGGTCGGTTCGCGCGCGGCTTCCTGGCTGATGCCGGCCAGGCCAGGTGCCTGGAGGGGTTGTTCGACGGCTGGTGTCGTCCTCCGTCCCTCTCGCACCCCTGCGGGCCGCGCCGTGGGTGCGAGGGAGACGGCGCGACGAACGCTCCTTGCCGCCGGCGGCGTGCCCGAGGGCGTGCCGGCGGCCTTGACGCCCCGCGACACAATGTCCGCGAACACGCGTCGCGTCGCGTCGCCGCCAAGTCGCGGGCCTTGCGCCACCGCGAGAGGGCCAGGCCCGGGGCCGGGCCGGCCTGATGACCACGTGCTGTCGCTCTCTCGTTTTCACGTTTCTTTCTCTGGTTCCTTCCGCAGGCGGCCTGTCGACGCAGCTCAGCGTGGACGGGCTCGAGGACTCGGTGCAGGACTCGGCGTCGTACGACGAGTCGCCCCGGCCGCCCCCGCCTAGATCGCTGCGGCTCGACCTCCAGCGGCCGCGGTCGCCACAGGTACGTCGCGGAGAGAGGCACACTGTTCCGTTTGCTGGCTGAGCCTCACCGCCCCTCTCCCCCAGGTGATACGCAAGGACATGAACGGGTCGTCGCCCATGGCGGACGAGGTGGACCGGGACCGCGACCGGGAGCCGTCGGCCGGCAGCCTGGGCGGCGGCTCCCTGCTCCACCACGAGGTGCAGCTGCTGCGCGAGCAGGTGGAGCAGCAAGTGCAGCAGACGCAGGCCGCCATGGCGCAGGCCAACCTGCTACGCGACCAGCTCGCGGCCGAGAAGGCGGCCAGGATGGAGGCGCAGGTAAAGTGCCCGGGTTCAAAACCACCCACACCTGGATTTTTATCTTTTTTTTTTTGTTTTCAAAAATAAAAGTAACTCTTTGTTTCCAGGCCCGCACCCACCAGCTCCTCGGCCACAACCGGGAGCTGCTGGACCACATCACGGCGCTGGTGGCGCACCTCCAGGAGCAGGAGGGCGGCGGCGCGGGCGGCAGCCAGCCCCTTCAGCTAGCACCCCAGGTGAGCCCCCTTTCCGCTTCCCGTCGTCTCGAGACCCTCGTCGTCCACCGGCATGCCCAGTCGGTCACACAGTGGGGAAGTCCCGGCCGGGGAAACAATTGTAAAAGCTCCCGTTTGATGCCCTCCAAGTGAGAAACTTGTTCAGGTCCAACATCTCACTCAGTTTCTTCGCTGAAACATTCCCCTTCTGACAGTCGAACTTTGTCACTTTGTCCTCCATCCTGTTTCCTTACCCATCTTGAGAAAAGAAACACAGAAAGAAGTACCAGCCTTGCATCATGCATCTTTGTGAAGTGTGTTTGTGTGCTCTCCATGTTCTAATATTTTGTTGATTGTAAACTGAACCGGAATGAAATGAGTTTGTCAAAGTGTGCCGAATGCTACAACAACTTTACTATCGTCTCAAAGAATTGAGATTTGCAGCTTTTTGCCAAATCTGTCGTCCATGCCACGTGGATCAAAAGAGAATCTCATTATTAATGGCTCTTCTCTTTTCTAATCAGTTGCCTGCAGATATATCGCGGCTTAAAAGTACAACTACATTCCCATAAACTACCAAAACGTGAGAACATTTTTTCAAAGAGAAATATTATTATCTTTGCATGGTAGACTTTGGCCTCTCTGAGGTGCAAAGATTTTTCTTTCAAATATCTGTTATGGACGCTTCTTTTCACTTTTGGTACTGTAGTGCAAATCTGGAAACACTTTCTTTTGTAAGGAATAGTTGCAAATCAATGTGTGTGTGAAATTTTGCATGCGTTTTCTTTAAACATTTATTTTGTACCTAGTGAGTTCAAATTATTTTAAGCTTCATATTTTTGTTATAATTTAATGGAGGTGTGTTTATCTTCTGTTTTGATGCTGTCCTTAAAAACAAAGAATGCTTAAAATGTTTTTTTCCGTGTTGTGTTGCAAGTTTGCTTTTTAATGCTTGTAGTAGTTTAGAGTGTGTTTTTGTTTTTTGTTTTTAGTTTTTGAAGTTATGCCACTATTAACTGTGATTTTTAATTCATTAGTGTTTGCTATTCTGTTTAATGTGAACTTGTATTTTTGCATGCGAGTGAAAATTATATCATAGTGCATGAGAGTGTTAATCTGACTAGTCGTTTTGTGTAAACACTTTGTTGTGTGCGCGTGAATTTTTTTATCACCATGTGTTGTGCAAGAGGCAAGGCCTTGACTTGGGTAGTTGGGGTAGGACGCTGTCACTGACATGCCCCAGGGCCGCCTGCCTAACCAGTCTAACTTATGGCTGCAAAAAAGACAAGAAAATGCATTGTTCGATTCGAAGGCGGGCCCGGGTCGCGGTCTGTGATGGTGTGGTGGTGGCGGTGTGGTGACGGCTCTGTGCTCTGCTCTCCCCGCAGTGCGACCAGCTGGTGGGCCAGGGCGTGCCGCCGATGTACCTGACGGACTACCAGGAGGCCGCCGCGCAGCACGCGGCCAACCTGGCGCTCTACAACATGGCGGCTGGGGTGCCCGTCGGGGTTCCGGGGTCGCCCGCGCAGACGCTGCGGCACGGCGCCCACGGCGTGCAGGCGCCCACGCTGTTCGGCTTCCCCTACGCGCCGCCCGTCACCTCGGACCAGCAGTTCCAGACGCAGCTGCTGCAGAGGCTGCAGTCCCTGAGCGGGTACTCGGCCGCCCCCGGCAGCGCGCGCTCGCCCACGCCCTTCGGCTACCCCCAGTCGCCCACCCTGGGCTACCGCATGGCGCAGCCGTCGCCCTTCGGCAGCACGGCCGTCATGGCTGCGGCGCAGCAGCACCGCGCGCACAGCACGCCGGCCGCCACGGCCACGCCCTCGCCGACGGCGCACAGCGCGCACAGCGGACACAGCGGCGGCAGCGGCGCCGCGGCCTCCACGCAGTGCACCCCGCAGGACGAGGAGTCGCCGTTGTTCATCCGGCCGCTGTCGCAAGTCGGCACGCTCACCACCACGGACAACGACGGCCGCACCAGGGTCATCGTGCCCGTGCCCATGGACGACGACGCCGGCCCCGCCGGCCCCACCAGGCTGAACCCGCCCCCCGCCAAGGCCAAGCCGGCCGCCGCGGCCGCCGCCTCCGGGGGCGGCACCGCCAAGCGGCAGCAGCAGCAGCTGGCCGCCGCCATGGCCACCCTGGAGGCGCCGCCCCCGGCCGCGGGCGGCGGCATGGGCGGCATGCGGAGACTGGCCCCCGGGGGGCCGCCCTTCATCACCAGGTCCACCAGCGAGAAGGTCCCGAACCGCAGCGAGCTGATGACGCAGGTCACCAGGGCGGCGTGGGCCCGCCACACCACCAAGTAGAGCCTCTTGGCCTCGGCGCCGCGGTTCGCACTCCCCGCGTTCGGCCTGCAGAGGCACTGACTCTCCCGTGATGATGTTTCCCTCCTTACTTGTTGAGTTTGGTAAGGATACAAGGTCATTTCCATAAGTGTCTTATGGTAGGTATTGCTTCGAAAGCAATGTACAATCTGTTGTTCATATATTTCAGAATTTAAACTCTATGTTAAAGTAGGCTCATCAATCCTATGATTCTGCAAAACAATTTCCCTTCTTTGCTAGTAGATTAAATCCTTAGAGGAGTACGTATTTTAGGCGCTTGCATACGCTCCCCATGATGCCAAGTGTTTAACCGAGTAGTCTCGAGTAGCACATATATATATTTTTGGTATGAGAATGCGAGCACTACTTTGTACTAAAATGTTATCCCGAAAACAGTTTCAAAAAAATATTGGCATTTTCTTTATGATTACAGTGGAGTTTTTGACTTACTGCCCTTCTTCCCTGATTGTGCATACAAATAAAATGTTAAATCAAGTGCTCCAGATGATCTCATACAGACATCATAAATGTTACAATAATAATTATAATATTCCTTTCACTATTGCAATGGAACACATGCAACTTGCTCCTAATCATTCTGTTTGAACATTTGTGGAAAATGTAATTTTAACTACAAGTTTCCAGATGGATTGTTTATTTTTTGCCAGAGTAGCCAAAAATTAGATATATAGCTTTTACAACCCAAAATTTTATTGCTATTTTCTCATCTTGTGTTGTGAGCAGTAATATAAGGTCACAGTTGCATGTGGAAGTGTTTCTAGTCTATTTGCGTGCGGCCATGTGTTCCCGTATATTATAAGATGACTACCTATATGTGTTGTATATACTTTAATTTTGTAATTTATTTTGATTTGTATATATATTTTTATGTAAAGTGATGCAATCGAAGGGCGTGGAACTTTGCATCTCGGAATTTCCATTCGGCTTTTGTTTCAGCCAAAAGTGCGTATTGTGGAGAGTTCACCCAGTGATTTTATATTGTGTTGTTTGGAGACATGGTCTTCTTAAGTGTTTATATGACTGATGAATGGATGATGTGTGTGCGAATGAAGCAAAGAGAGAGAAAGATGTAAAATAAAATGCAAGATTTATTGTTACCACACTTTCTCAAGACAACCTCATCCCCAACTCTACCTTTTCTTTAGTCTTCCTTTCTATAGGACTTCTTCACACAAAGGGCGTTGGTCTGAGGTAAGCACAAGCGAAGAGAACTGGGGTGAGGTGGGCGTAACTACCCCGCGCCGGGAAATACCCCCCGAGGAGACGCAGCGCGGGGTATCGCCACCACGCGGCCTGCAGAGCACTGCAGAGCGCAGAGCCAAGGGGGCGGTCGCGGTCGGCCAGTGCTTCCCCCCCTCCCCCTCCCCCGCGCACCTTTCCAGTGTACTCGCGGCCGTGTCCCGCCCTTTGCGGGACCTCCCTGGCCCTTCCAGGCCGGGGGAAATGTTGTATTAAATGTCCGGCCAAACAGTGGCGTGGTCGGCCTCGGTCCACTCGGCCTGCTATTTCCGGTGGGGGGGTTCGCCGTCAACATTCAACATGGGCGTGTCTGCGACCGTCTACGACGAGCGACGACCACCGCTAATCCACCAGCAACAGCCAGCGCTGCCGAGTGGGTCTAGCCCTTAATGGTAATGGTAACGGCGGGTAGGCAGTGCCGTGGCACTCGCGTGTCGGCGGGTTGCCTACCCGCCATTCGGCAGGCGCTCCGCACTGCCTCGCACTGTGACGGCGGACTTGGAGGCGGAGATTAGCGCGCGCGTTGACGAGGTCCTCGCTCGAGGGACGACCTTGGGGTGTCGGAGCGCGGCAGACGCGGCCTGGGGAATGACCACCCCGGCGTGGCGCGGCGTGGCGCGGCGTGGCAGGTGTCCGCTTGCGTGCCGCCGTGCCGCATTACCCCTGCAGTGGTGTGGCTGCGGCCCACGCCGCCCACTTCCTTTAATCAAAATGAAGCTTTATGAAAAAGAAAGAGGCGAAACGGCGCGAGCCGAGCCCCTCCCTGGGTCAGTCGGCGCAGTCTGCCCGTCGCGCCACGCCCTGCCTCGCTCGTTGCACGAGTGCGTGGGAGGGAAGGGTGGACGAGTAAAGACCGGTAAAGACCGCGAGACTAGTGGGTGATGTTTGCAAATTTTGAAATGGAAAGAAAAGACCCTTGCTCTGGATGACATTAATCTGGTGGAGGTGAGACTGTCCCCGGGCGACATTCTTCATTTGGGAGGGCGGGGTGTGGGGCTGGCCACTGGGGCTGGCCCAGCGAGGCCTAGCGTGCCTGGCCGCCATAACATCACTGCCGGCACGGGCTTCAAGACGACACGGCCCGCGGTGTCCCCCGAACCTGCCCGGCCAAACGAATTCGGCGCTGTTTTAACCGGCCTTTCTGTTCCTCTTCGCAGCTGAGCTCGGCCGCCAAGGTGGCGCGCTGGTTCGAGCTGCTGCAGACGCCGCCGCTGTCGCGGCCCGAGAGCGGCTTCGTGTCCGGGGCGCAGTCCGGCGACCTCGGCGGCTCGGCGGCCGAGACCACCACGGAGACGGACGCCGTGGACCCCGACATCGTGGACGCGGAGACCGTGGAGGCCGCCATGGCGCAGATGGACTCGGCCGTGAGCGCGGCCCTGAGCAGGCTGCCCGCCCGCAAGAAGAACAAGCTGTTCAAGCTCAAGCTGGGCAGGAACGTCACCTTCTAGCGGGCCACTCGCGCTGCCGCCAGCGCCACCAAAGACAGACACTGCGAATGTCTTCTCTCTTATTGTTTTGTCTAGAGTTGGCTGGTGTTATACTTGTATGAAATGTTGGGATGAAACTGCAGGAGTAGGATGATGAAGTTGGCAACTTTATAAGTTATGTGTTAAGATTTTGAGTTTTACGGCCGCAGATGAGCCTCTCCAAGCAAGACTGAGTTTCCCGCCACGGAACCTTGTTGCACGTGCATTCGGACATTGGCTGAAATTGGCGTTGATCAAAGTTAACCAGTGCTGCAGTGTCTTCCAGAACATAAACGCCAAAAGGCTAAGAATAATATATTGATCTCGAGGGAAGTATTTTAGACCTAAATTAAAGATTAAATAAAGCCTTAGCCAATTTGGAATGTTTCACTACAGTAATGTACATTTAAGTGAACTTAACAATAAGTGATGGTGTAGCAGAAGTATGTGCTGATCTCCTCTTTGAAATGCAGTTGTTTGAATATCGTTAGTTAGCCAATATTGAGTGTAAAGTGCATAGTATAGTTAGTTAATGCCACCAGAAATAGCAACCTTTAAAAAAACCTGTATAAGGACATCTGATTTCTAGATCCCTCTCTTGTGCCAGCGATTTTCATTTACACGATTACAGGAGTGCTTGGAGTATGTATAAATGATAAACATTTGTAAATATTTTATGTATTTTTAAAAAAAGAGAAAGAAAAAACAATCAAACCCATTGGTGCCATATGGGGATTCCCATGGTTCTTTGGAACCACTCTTGTATGTTCTAATTCGATGAAATTTCATGACCAATGATCTTGATGTACTATTACTATATTGTACATAGTACATTTAGTAGAGTATAATTACATTGAGCAAATTTTCAGAAGACTGTTTAATTATAAATGTAAAAATTTAGTTGTTGGACAGAATCTTTGAACTTAAATTTATGTTATAAGAATGTCTTGACTTGAAAATGTTACCATTTCAGAGGCTACTGTCACGGTAGCAAAGCTACATACATTCTGTAATTGCTATTTGGGTGAAACTTCATTTCCCTTAACACCCAACTTCATTGCTATAGTAGCTTTACATCCTTTCTCTGAATGCGTTTGTATGAGGATTTCTGAAAGGTTCTCGGTGAATGCATTTCCAATTTTAAGTTGTAATTTATGAGCATCACTGTCACATTTTCGGCTGAAATGAAAATGTGATAAAGTGTGTTTGTATTTTTTCAGGACATTTATTTTCTATAAATTATTTTCCAAAATTGGCATTTAGTCTTGAAAAGGCATGGAAAAAGTGCACCCTCTCATTTTATGGCATATAAAAGAGTGTTTCTTGCACAAGCAGTCTCATTGTTTTCTAGGTGAATCTTGACAGCAACTTTGAACGTGGAAATTTGCATTCATTGGCCTATTTTTCTGAGTCACTGTTCATAGAGAAAATGGTAAAGGATGTGATGGTAAGCTATGTTATTGAATTGTTGGTGCTGATTGCGACCCTCCCTCTCCAAACTTTCTGTATAAACATTTAAAAGATAATTTAATAAACATTATTTATTACAATGCTTGCTGATTGATTAGATTTCCACCCTTTCCCTACACACAGTTATTTTTCACTGGGTGAGCCATAAGATCAGAACAGAACACACATATCCTCCGTGATACTGAGTAGCGCGATCAATCCCAGAAGCTAGTATGGAGTAGAGATACAGCATTTTAAGCAATATTAGGGGGCCAAGCTTAGTACGACCCGACCCACCCCGTGGCGGCTCTCGGCTTCCCGGACGACAGGGGTGAGGGGGTGGGAGGGGGAGGGGGCTAAGTGGCAGGGAGAGGGCGGGGGCGCGTCACATGAGCCTGCTCATACACGTACACGCTCGCCTGGCCGTACGCAGTGCGCAGTACGCAGTGTGGGACGTCACCGGCACCGTCACGACCGTCACCTGGATGGCCTGGATGGCGGCTCGGCCGGCACGGCGCGCACCTGGACTGCGACGAGTCTGACCGAGGAGAGCAAGGGCACCAAGGGCAGCAAGGGGACCAAGGTAGGCAGTGCAGAGGTAGCAGCCGCCCGTAATGTTCGAACGAACCTGCCCCACGCTGGTGGTTTGCGAATTTGAATCCGTTGTCGCGGGGTTCTGTCGTGCCTTTCCAGTGCTTTACGCCCGTCGCCCGGAAAGCTTGTCACTCTCAGACTAGTTGCTTGTCACGCTCAAGGATTGAGGTTCACCCGAAATTCGAAGTGAAGCTGCTCGGACGTTGCCGAAATGAAATGGTTTTCCTTCCCGCAGTGAGGCGTGTCGCGTGACGCTGAATCACAGCCCACACGCACGGCGTGGCGCGGCGCGGCGTAGCTGTCAAGCATTGTCACGCACTGGAGCACAGAAGCACTCACGCTCCGGCTCGAGTGCGGCGGCAGCGCGGCACCGCACTCGGCCCACGGCCCGCGGTCACGGAGTACGGAGAACGGGGTAGGGAGTCACGGGGGAGCAATCGCTACGTCACGCCAGTCGTCGGACGCAAAGTCGCAGGGAGGGCCGTGGCGTGGATCAAGCGTCTAAATTTTTTTTTCTTTTCAACTAGTCTAACGAGCTGGTGACGCCAGGCCACCCCTCTGTGCCGGTGTCACTGACACTGCCGTGCCATTAGTTGATTCGTTCTGCCGGCTAGGACTCGGCCAGGATGTCGGAGTCAAACACCGGCGGCGACCGGCCCCCGGGACCGCCCCCGGGACCCAGCCAAACACCCGCCGCCGGCGCCGCCTCCCTCGGGCCGCCCCACATGGGGCTGTCTGCGCTGCCGGCGGCCACCGGGGTGGCGGGGCGGCGCGGCAGGACGACGTCGCCGTCGCTGTCCACGGCGTCCACCTCCACGGCCACCACCGGCATCCTGCGCCTCAACATCAACAAGCCGCGCAGGAGCTCGGGCAGCTCCGTGGAGTTCCGCATGCCTGGGGAAAACTACATGCAGGTGAGTCTACTTCGTGGAAACGGACGCTTGTCTGCACATGGTCATCAGCGAGGCGGGCGGGAAGCACCCCTTACTCCCTAGCAGGCCGTCGGGCGCGTCGTGTGTTGTCGGCGCGAGTGGCGAGGCGAGCAGCGGGCGGCACGGTCAGTTTATCGGCGAGGACGGCCACGACCGCGGCCACGACGACCACCTCCAGGACGAGGCGAGAATGGCAGTTTGCGGGACGGAGGGCGGTCTGCCTGTCTGCAGGCTGATTCCGAGCGGACGCTCTCTCTTTCTCTCCCGCTCGCACTGTGGGACATCCCGTGGGGGTGCGAGAGAGACAGAGCGACGAAACCTCTGTTCGGAAGCGGCCTGGCGGACGAGGTGCTTTTAATGGTGATGTACAACACGCAGGCGGAGGCCGCACGCAACAAGGTGGCCCGCCCCCGGCCCGGGACTCTAGGGCGGCGTCTCGGCGAGGCCAACAGGGCGTGGCAGGGCGGCAGGGCCTCGGCCGCCGTGGCGCAGGCCAGCCCCTCGTCGGCCAGGGCCTCGTCGGAGGGCGCGCCGCCTGCCGCGCGCCACCATGACAGATCCAGGCCACTTTTTGTTGCCACGCTGGCTAATCTGCCGCGGGTATTGTTGTTGTTGTTTCTTTTCGCGGACGTTCCTCGAGACGTTCCTCGACGCGGCCGAAGCCCCGCGGGCGGCTCCAGACAAGGCTCCAGGCAAGGCTCCAGCAGGCGGCACTCCAGGAGGGCGTGGCGGGGCCGCGGCCGCTTGCATGACCGGGGCCACTTTGTGTACACGGCTCGTCTTGTAGGGTGTCGGGGTGGGGCGGCGGGGGCGGCGGGGGCGGTGGGGGCTGCGGGGGCCGCGTCTTGGAGGACGGCGGCAGCGCGGGCAGAGGGTGGGCCGGGCCGCTGGCCGACGGGGCAGACGCAGGCCGCGCCAGCCAGGCCGCGCGAGCACACCATGAAGCTGCGGCGCAACAGGCGCACGGCATGCACGCCATTCGGCCCTTCTTCCACAAGGTGAGCCGGGAGCGGGTTCGAGTCCCCCTGCCGGCGGGCCGTTTTTCTTCGCCGTGCTCACCTCGACGCCTTGCCGCAGGTGGAGCCCACGTCCCCGCAGCCCTCGGTGGACCGTCTGTCCGTCTCGTTCGCCCCGGAGGAGCGCAGCGTCTGCTCGGACTCCTCGGTGCGCGTCAACGTCATGGCCGCCTCGGGCACCCTCGCCGCCAACGGCTACGGCGACGCCTCGCCCGACAAGGCGGCGGCCTTGGGCGCGGAGGAGGACGACGAGGACTACTCGGTGAGCATCTCGGCCATCATGCAGCGGCGGGCGTCGACGCGGCGCTCCAAGCGCGCCAGCCGCCACCGACGGGGCAGCCACGCGCGCCGGCCGTCGTCGCCGTTCAGCCCGGACGCCGACAGCGCCAGCATCGGCGCCAGCGGCCACCAGAGCCGCCGCCGGTCGTCCGTGTTCACCACCAGCTCGGCAGAGTAAGCGAAAACATTTTTAGAAGTCGGTACTCGAACCCCGCGGGCTTTTCTACGCGTGTGTGACCCGCAGCACGGCCGCGTCGGTGGAGGGCTCGGGCGGCGCGGACGGCGGCGTGCTGCCGAGCGCCGCCGTGTCGCAGGAGCAGATCCTGGAGAACCTGCGCGTGCACAAGGAGGTGCTGAGCGGCGTCAAGATGCAGCCCTGGGGCATGCGCCGCAAGCTGCGCCTCGTCCGCCAGGCCAAGACCTACGTCAAGCGCCACGAGGGCCAGCTGCACGAGCGCTTCGCCAACTCGCACAACACCAGGGACATCATGGCGCGCTTCAACCTGTGGATGCTCAAGGTGGGCCGGGCCTTGACCGCCCACGGGGTCATTTGTGTTCTCAAATTCATCTTTGTGGACTCTTTAAGTCTTTCAAATTGACCTTCGTGGGTTCATTTACGTCTTTATAAATGCATGTTTGTGGGTCGGCAGCGCTGGCAGCGCGGCAAGCGGGAGGTGGCCAACCTGCTCAACATGCTCATCCCGTGGGAGCTCCGCATCAAGGAGATCGAGTCCCACTTCGGCTCCGTCGTCGCGTCCTACTTCACCTTCCTGCGCTGGCTGTGCTGGGTCAACTTCGTCATCGTCATCGTCATCCTGGCGTTCGTCACCGTTCCGGAGGCAAGACAACTCAACCTAACCTAACCTAACCCAACCTAACCTCACCTAACACTCGCTCTGCCTCCTGCCTCCCCAAGATCCTGACGGCGGACTCGAAGAGCGGGGGCGAGCGAAAGGAGATGCTGCCCGAGGAGCGCGCCACGGCCTACAACCTGTACAAGCTGTGGGACTTCGAGGGCCCGCTCAAGTACTCGCCGCTCTTCTACGGCTACTACACGGACGACGACCGGCAGAAGGGCTACCGGCTGCCCTTCGCCTACTTCATGACCGGCCTGGCCGTCTACGTGTACAGCTTCGTCGCCACCCTCCGCAAGTGAGTGCAGTCTTCGCGCTCCCGACGCGGAAAGTTCCCGGCTTTCTGGACATTCTCCCATGTTGTCATTACTTTGCCCTTTTCTTGTCCCTGTGATTGGACCCTGTCGCCAGGATGGCGTCCAACTCACGCATGAGCAAGCTCTCCGAGAAGGAGGACGAGTGCGTGTTCACGTGGAAGCTGTTCGCGGGCTGGGACTACATGATCGGCAACGCGGAGACGGCGCACAACCGCGTCGCCTCCACCGTGCTGGGCTTCAAGGAGGCCCTGGTGGAGGAGGCCGAGAAGCAGCGCGAGGAGCGGAAGTGAGTTTCGAATTTCAGTTTTAGTGAAGGCACAGCGACACAGCATGCATGGCTGGCTGCACACCCTAAAACTGGCTGTGCTGCAGTTGGCGCATCATGACGGTGCGCGTGGCCGTCAACTTGCTGGTGCTGGGGCTGCTGGTCTCCTCGGCCTACGCCGTGGTGGAGGTGGTCGCGCGCTCCACGGACGACGAGGCCACCAGGAACTCGGTGTGGCGGCAGAACGAGACCACGGTGGTGGTGACGGTGGTCAACAACCTGTTCCCGCTGCTGTTCGAGCTGCTGGGCATCCTGGAGCGCTACCACCCACGGAAAACGCTGCGCCTGCAGCTCGCCCGCATCATGGCCCTCAACCTCACCAACATCTACACCCTCATCTTCTCCATGTTTAAGAAGATCAATAAGATGGTAAGAAAACGGCCTTCTTTCTCGTGACTGGAAAGGAAATGGATTGTAAAACGGGCGCTGCCTCCAGTCCCACGACATGCAGGCCATCCTGAACGAGACCCAGACGAGCACCGCGAACGCGACCTTCGCGCCGGAGCAGACGACGTTCAGCAGCACGCTGGCGGCGTTCCCCACCACGCTGCCGCCCAACTGCTTCCAGAAGGAGGTGACTTGCGGCACGACGTCGGCCCTGCTGCTGTACGGGCTGGCGCTGGCCGGGCCGACGTCGCACTGGTCGCCTTCCTCGCCCTCCACGACGACGGTGTCCTTCTCGGCGCCGCTCTCCACGGACGCGGCCGTGACCACCTTCCTGAGGACGCACTACGGCTCCACACTGCCCCCGCACTTGCCGGCCACCGCTCCGATGGCCGCGTTCACGTCGGCCTCGCCCAGCACCTGGGCGGACGCCACCACGGCCACGTGGATGGACTGGAACGCGTCCGAGTCCTCGTGGGCGTCGTCCTCCACCTGGGCATCGTCCTCGGAGGGGATGGCGTCGTCCTCGTGGACTTCAGTGTCGTCGACCCAGGACGCGGACCAAGGTAGGTGCGTAGGGTATTTGAATGAATTCATTTTTGAGAGACGCTTACCTCTGCTTGCGTGCAGGTAACTTCTCCCACATGGCCGTCGGACTCGCCGGGCTGGAGGGCCCTTTGCTGTACCTCCACGAGGCGGCGGCGTTGGTGGCCTCGGACGCCTCGTCTAGCGCCGCCACGACGGCCGAGGCCTTCGACGCCTCCTCCACGACGCAGGGCGACACCTCCACGACGGACGGCTGGGCCAGCAGCGACGCCTCCGACGCCACCGACGACGCCACGGCGGCGGAGAGCACGTCGACGCAAGCTACGGTCACCGATGTCACCAACGCGACGGTGTCGTCGTCCTCGGCGGCCTCGGCGTCCAGCGCCACGGACGGCCGAACGTCGCCGCAGTCGCCCACCACCCCCAAGATGTGCTACGTGGCGCGCTGCGAGACCCCCGGCGGCGCGACGGGCGCCACCAGCACCGCGACGACGCCGGGAGCGGGAGCCAGCGGAACCACCCCCGCGGCCGGCGGGAAAGGGGTGCCCGGCGACGGCCAGAAGCGCACGTCCCAGTTCGACCTGGAGACGCGGCGGAGGCTGCACGGCCTCTGCTGGGAGACCATGTTTGGGCAGGAGATGGTCAAGATGACCGTCATGGACCTGGTGATGACGGTGGGCGGCACGCTCTTCATCGACTTCTTCCGCGCCGTCTTCGTGCGCGTCATGAACAACTGCTGGTGCTGGGACCTGGAGAAGAAGTTCCCGCAGTACGGTGACTTCAAGATCGCCGAGAATATCTTGCACCTGGTCAACAATCAGGGCATGGTGTGGATGGGCATGTTCTTCTCGCCGGGCCTGCCCCTCATCAACCTGGTCAAGCTGGCCATCATGATGTACCTGCGGTCCTGGGCCGTGCTCACCTGCAACGTGCCGCACGAGGTAGGCGCATGGAAATGTGACTGTGCGAGTGTTTCTCTTCTTGTTCTACACGGCCGTACACGGCTGTCGTTGCAGGTGGTGTTCCGCGCGTCGCGCTCCAACAACTTCTACCTGGCGCTGCTGCTCACCATGCTGTTCCTGTGCGTGCTGCCCGTGGGCTACGCCATGGTGCGGCTGCGGCCGTCCGTGCACTGCGGGCCCTTCTCGCGCTACCTGCACACCGCCGACATCTTCACCAACTCACTGCGCAACGCGCTGCCCGCCTTCCTGCACGACGCCCTCAACTACATGGCCTCGCCCGGCATCGTCATCCCGCTGTTGCTGCTGCTCTTCCTCGTCATCTACTACCTGCTGTCCCTCACCAACTCGCTGCGCGAGGCCAACAACGACCTCAAGGTGCCCGGCCCCACCACTCTCTACTCCTTTGTAACTCTTTGATGCCACGTGAGTGGGTAAAAATTGCTTCGATGGTGCCAACAACCAACGAGGTTGCCTCTTAGGCATCGTACATTTTTTGCCCTACTTATGTAGGAACTACTACTGGAAGAGATAAAAGTTCGAAGTTCGAGTTTCCCGCCTTTTGTTTGCTCCTCCTTGTTTACCCCGCGGCCAGCTGTCAGCGCGTCGTGGCGTGGCGTGGCGTTGGAGCGACGTGGGGGCGGCGCGGGGGCGGCGTCCCCGAGGGGTGGGGTGGCGAGCGCGGCCAGCGGCAGCGTGCGGCAGCCAGGGACGCCGATCGATGCCTCGCCGCGCACGGTCGGCGCGGGGAAACTTCGGCCACCCGCGGCGGCCGCTGCTGCCGATGCATCGACGCAAGTTTGGCGGCGTCGACTGTCGCGAAGGGCGGCGCGGGCCAGGGGGATGAGGTTGTTTACCGGCTCGGCGTCGTTGCCGGCGCCGCGAGCCAGGCGCGCAGTGCGCTGAGGAGGTCGCCCTGCCGTCCCTTGCCCTTCCGCGGCGGCAGCCCACCCCGCCCAATAGGATCAACAGGGAAATCTGGGGAAAATCCGCAGTGGCACCGCGCGAAAAAAGATGGGAGAAAAAGTCGAAGAAAACAAAAGAAAATGATGGTTGTTGTGGTTCTGCAGATCCAGCTGCGCCGTGAGCGCACCGAGGAGCGCCGCAAGATGTTCCAGATCGTGGACGGGCGGCGCGGCGGCGGCGGCGACCTGGCCGACAAGTGGCGCCGCCTCACGGCCGCCCTGCCCTCCGCGGGCACGCCGGGCACGCCGGACGGCGACGGCAAGGTGCCGGCCAGCGCGGCCGCCGCCAAGCCGGAGACCAACCGGCGGAAAGGTGAGTTCATACCGCTGTAGCGCGCGAGGAGGACATGAAAATGACGTAACGCGTTCGCCTGTCGCGCAGAGCTCCTGGCCCGGCTGCTGAAGCACGCCCTGCGCAAGTCGTCGGCCACGTCGGACGAGGAGTCCATGGCGCAGACGCCGACGGACGGCCCCGCGGCGCGCACCCAGGTGGCCGCGCTGGCCGAACAGCCCGACGGCGACGCCACCGACGCCGAGCAGCCTGACTGCCTCCCGGAGGACGACGAGCAGGCCGCCAAGGTGGCCAAGAGGGCGTCCAGGGCGGCGAGGACCAGCAAGGCCCGCTCCAACGGCGGACAGGTTCGACACTTTCTAAAGATAAATTCTCTCTCGTCTTTTTCTTTAAAGCAGTAACAATGGTTTGTAGGGTATTCGAGACGCGGTGCACGCCCTGACGAGCAGCAAGGCGAAGGACCGCGCGCAGCCGCAGGTCGAGGCGCACGCCGCGCACGCCGAGCAGCCGGCCGGCCCGCCCGCGGCGGCCCACCACCCCCACCACCACCACCACTACCGCCGCGACCGCCGCGAACGCCGCGAACGCGACTCGCCCTCCGCGTCGTCCAGGAGGGAGCGCGAGGACTCGGTGGCGTCCTCCTGGTCGGACAACATCCCCGAGATCCGCATCAGCAAGACGGAGAGCTCCGAGTGCGTGCTGGACGACAGCCTCCTCGACGGCGTCCTGGACGGCGGCCCGGACAGCGTCCCGGACGACGAGGCGGCCAGCACGTCCAGGACCACGTCGGGGTCCGCGTGGTCGCAGGCGGCGGAGCCGCAGCGGCCGTCCAAGTCGGGGAGCTCGGACACCATCGTGGCGGTCGAGGTACGCCGCCGATGTGCGCCGCGACTACTCGCCTCCTTTCATTCAGCCAACTAACGTTTTATATTTTACAGGATCTCGCAAACCCAACCAAAGACGCCGGCGTCTAGATTCCACGCGCTCCGAACAGCACATCGGACCAGCCACTTCTAACTGCCCACGGGTTAAAATTTAAAAAGATGTTGTCCGTTTGTATTTATAAACCACGGCACATACACAATGTCTCAACAAAATGGATTTAATAAAAAATATTTTACACCTCGAACCGTTCCTTATTTCCACGAACCCTTGTCGTCAGGCGCAGCACTCGCACAGCAGGCGATCACCGGACAGGCGGTTTGCTAGAAGTTGTCCGACTTGTACATCTGCACAAGCAGGATCTCGTAGGTCGCGATGGAGCCCAGCATCTGCAAGCCGACGACGGCGTCACGTATCCACTTTTCCGGAAACTGGGCGCGGGAAGGACGGCGACCACTCACCGTCAGGATGAAGGAACGGGTGATGGTGAACAGACCCAGCCCCGTTAGAGTGACGTCATCCGTAGTCGCTTGCGACAGGAAACGCCCGATCTGGAGGGCAATGCAACAGTCTTACAGTGCAGGGCTGGCTGCCGCGAAGCACCGCTAAGTTTCTCGCGCAGGGGGCATCGTCGCGTACCTCCTCGCTGAAGTGCGCCGACGGCACGGAGTACAGCGCCCTCTTGATGGCCTTGGTCTCCTCCGGGATGCTGGAGGCGGCGAACACCATGGCGCCGAAGCGCAGCAGGACGAAGGCGAAGGAGAAGCAGAAGTAGAGCTGGCGGACGATCCCCGGGGTGGCGGACGAGGGCCTGCGCCAGGGACTCGTTGAGGTCGGGCAGCGCGAGGATCGGGCGGCGGCGCGCTCTAGTACTCACCGGACGGTGTGCTGCAGCTGGATGCAGATGGAGAAGAAGTTGTTGAGGCAGGACAGCAGCATCAGGAAGCTGATGTAGTGGTCCACCTTGCGAGTCAGCTCGCTCAGGTCGCTGAAGTTCTCTCGCGCCAGCTGCCAGTACGAATGGCTCGCCACCTGGCCAACCGAAGAAAACCACATTATTGAAAAAACAAACAAAACAACCGTACTCCGGTTTGCGTCCGGTCGGCACCTGCTGGGCGTCCCGCGACACCGTCGTCCTCAGCTCGTGGAAGCGGCGGCAGATGGTGAAGCTGACGCTCATGAGGAACACGTCGTTGAAGTTGAGCACGAGGTTGGTGGCGATGACGGTGAGCTGGGCGACCACCAGCACCACGGGGTGGTAGGCGATCGCCTGAGCCACCTGGAAACGGGACGCGCCGTCAAAGTCACTGCAGCTGGCTGCGGGTTATAGTGGCACGGTGCGGGGCGGACACTCGCGTTGTTGAACAGGCGGTTGTAGTAGTCCTCGAGCATCTCGCTGAAGGAGTCGAACTGGTCCACCTCCTTGCTCAGAGGGTACGTGAACAGCTCGAGGAGGATTTCCGCTGAAAATGAGAACCGAACTGAGCAACTGGGCCTGGACTAGCAATGACTACAACTGCGATCCAATTTTTGAAAAATTCTTCAGCGAATTCAGAGCATTCCGATGACGTCGTACTCGAGCTCATGACAAGCGCCGTGACTGCGAGCGTGACAATCTTCTTGCGAAGCGCCGACGGCGTGTCGACCGGCTTGCCGTCAGAGCCGGCAAAGCGATCGGAGGCGTCGTAACGGTGCTCCACGCGAAGGAAGCACAGCACGAAATCCCGCCACCGGCAGGCCATGCTGACGTACACCGCGACCTCCATGACGGCCATGGCGTGGAAGCCGAGCCGCGCTGCGAACACCAGGGGGCTCAGAGGCAAAGGCAAAGCACGGCGCGCCGTTCGACTCGCGGCGGAGCTCACTGGACACGACGATCTCCAGCACGGTGTTGTAGCCGACGTACACGCAGTAGAAGTAGATGAGGATGCGGCACGCCAGCAGCCACGCCACCACCACGGAGAGGAACACCTTGGCGGAGCGCCACCGGAACCTGAAACGCGAAGAAAACCGACATTTCTCTCATCGTTACTCATTGTTTTAGAGTGTACAAGACTGAGGAGGCTTACGTGAGCAGGGCGTCTCTGGGTGCGGGCAGGACGCCGAAGTAGCAGCCCGAGGCCACCAGGTGCTCGGTGAGCGCTCGGAAGGAGCCCTGCGCGGCCGCCGTGGAGAGCAACAGCTCGTCGTCGGACAGGCTCTCCGCGACGTGCTTCCACGGGCCGACTGCCCAACAGGCGAAACAATGTTATCAGGCGGCTGGCGGCGCCAGTACTCGAACCCACGGCCGCGTCACCCACCATGCGCCACTGGCTGCACGGCGACGACGTTCCCAGGGCGGTGCCTCGCCGAGAGGACCTTCTTGGCCATGATCGGGATGTGGTGGACGGACATGACCTGGAGGGCGAGCGCATCGCGAGCGGGCCGCCGCCCCCAGTCGCCGTCCACCGCCCAACTGCCCTCCGAGGACGGCGTCATAGCCGGCCGCTTCGACGGGGGCAGCGGGGCGCGCGGGGCGCTGGGAGCGCTGGCGCCACGTGCAAAGGTGTCGCTACTTCCCCCATAACAAATTGCACGTCGGGGCGCACTGGCCAAACCTGTCAGCCAGGGCGCCAGACAACCAGGAGTTGGGCGGGGAGTCGTGGAGGGGGGCCCGGCCGGCTGGGGAGAAAATCACTGCGGAAAACACAACTGCCGGAGATTGGTGATTGATGCCGCGTCATTATCCTTTGTTCTTTGTTGACACGGACTGCGCTGTCTGTACTCCCACCTAAGCGCACGCTCGTCGTGCGTTGTTGGTTTTCTGGCATCGACAGGCTAATTTTCGCCCCACTGTCGCCCCGCTTGTCAAGGGCACTAATGGTCATTAGGCCAGCTGGAAAAAATGGTGTGCGTCGACTATGCGTTCGCAGCCCCGCAGCCCCGCAGGCTTCCAAAGGGCAGAGTTCAAGGCGCGGGCCAGCAGGCCAGCAATAAGTAGGGCGCACGCAGCCGGGCCGGCTGGACCGCGGACGCACCGAGGACGCCGTGGACGCGCCGAGGACGCCGACGTCGCCCTATTTCTGCATTTGCAGCAGGACCACTTCGTACGTCGCGATGGTCCCCGCCACCTGCGCCAAAAACCGTCAACAAAGGGGAATTTTTTTTAATGGATTTATTTTTGTTTTAAGCAATGGATTTGTGGTGACGAGACTCACGGTGAGGATGAAGGAGCGCGTGACGCGGAAGAGGTGGCAGCCGCTGAGCGCCATCTCCTCCAGGGTGGCCTGCTGGATGAAGCGCTGCACCTGGCGGCAGTAGGACCTGGAGGACACCGAGAAGAGCAGCGTCCTGGACACCTTGCTGTGGTCGTTGATGCGCGCCGCCAGCAGCGCCACTGCGTACGTGCGGCCGATGATGTACGCGAAGGAGTAGATGCGGAAGAGTTTGCGCATGAAGCTGTCCTGCGACAGGCTGAGTTCACTCAAAAGTTAACCTTCTTTCAACGCCCCTTGAGAATTGAAATAAAAAACTTCACTTTGTTTGAAACTGTACCAAACACACGCCTGTGCACAGCCGTCTGTTCATCGGCGTACCTCAGAAAGTAGTAGAGTTGGAAGCAAATGAAGAACAGGTTCTGCGTGAAGGAGAGGAACACGTTGGTGTTGACGAAGGCGTCGATCTCCTTGATGAGCTTGCTCAGCTCGTCGTAGGACCGGCGAGCCTCCTCCCAGAACACGTTGCTCTTCTCCTATGACGAGGACGGTTTACGAGGGACGTCGTTTCTTTATTGACAATGAACTTGAAGATGAGGCTACCTTGGTGAGGCTGGGGTGCAAGTGGCTGTTGAGGTTCTGAACGCGCCTGGACACGTACAGGCTCACCAACATGATGAACAGGTCGTTGAAGACGTACAGGAAGGCCAAGAGAGTGGCTGTGGCTTGGAAAAACACGGTGCTAACGACCTCCGACAATGGCGGCTGAAAAGAGGAAACAAACAAAGCTGCACCATCATTCACTTTCGAGGCGTTTATTTTTCGGCAATTCAATGCGGACCTTAGCTAGAGAGTCTTCAAAGAGATCTTGAACGGAAGGATAGCTTGCGAGTGTCTGTGAGAAAAGGCTGACTCTGTCAAACGTGTAGTCCACTGTAAAAAACAGATTAATTTTTTTCACACAAGCGGCGTTTAAATCGGTAGTACGGCGAGCCTGTCGCGGCCGCACCTATCATGAGGCAGAACAGGGCCACGGTGAGGCGCTTCATGTCGCGGCCCAGGAGTGGCGGGTAGCGGTCGCCCACGGCGCGCACCTTCTCGGCGCGCTCGAAGACCGTCGCGAAGGACGACCACCGCCGGGCCAGCCGCAGGTACGTGACGGCGATGGAGATGGCCACGCCGTGCGCGGCCAGGTCGCCTGCGGGGAGGACAACCAGAGGGGTGTGAGGCGGCCGTCGCCGAGGTCGCCGCCAGCGGCACGCCACCCACCTATGAGGGAGAGGTAGCCGTCCTGGCTGAGGCCGCTGATGGCCATGCGGGCGGCGAGGGCCAGGATGATGAACAGCGCGTACGCCGTGCGGAAGGACCTCCATCGAAACCTTTACAAAAACAAAAACAGTTTTTTGGCGGCAACGTTTAAAAGCGGGAAGTAAGCAAACCGTCCGCGGTGCTCCTGATACACTGTACCTCGGCAACGGGGCCGCGGCCTCCGTGTGGGCGGGCACCAAGGAGAAGCAGAGGCCGACGCGGAGGGCCAGCTGGATGCCGCTGCAGAAGGAGTCCGGGTGCGGCGCGGCGGTGGCCGCCGGCACCTCGCCGTCGGCGCCGTCAGTGCCTTCGGGCAGGAACGGCAGTGGCGGTCCCGGACGCCGGGGGTCCCTCGCCGACAGCACCGCCTCCAGCTTCATCAGGCAGGGACACCTGAAAAGATTTAAAAAAATATCAAAAATAATTCAGAGGTAGCTACCCTGTGTCCTTGGAATGCTTGCCCGTCAGCAGCGAAAATGGGTCGCGGTTGGGCAAACGCAGGCGACACACCTGGATGGCCACAATCAGGTAAAGTCCCTTCGGATCGAAGCCCCTTCACGCGACAGTTGGCGGACAGTTGTCGCGAGGCACCGGACTCAAGACCATGGCGATCCACGTCGTCAGCGACTCGGTGGCGGAAGTCCAACCCTCCAACCGCAGTAAGCTCATGGCCTCGATTCCACTTCGAATGGCTGTCCCGCGGCTCAACGAGTCTCCCCTGTTCCAGTCTCCCCGTCCACCACGCCGCAGGGCTGGACGGACAGGAAGGTTCTGGTACCCGCGCCAGCGCACCGCCTGCTCAAGGCCATGTCCCCCGTGGTGGCGGTCGGCAAGTGGGTCGGCTTCTTCGCCTTCCGGGGGCTGGCCAACCCGAAGCAAGTGTTGACGGCGATGTGCTGCACCCTCGGCCACCTCGCAGTGCCCACGTCGTCACGTGACTGTCCGCAGGTTCCACTGGGCTTCCCCCCGCGTCGCCTACCTGGCCGTCACCGTCCTGGGCATGGCGATGCAGCTGCTGGTGACCTTCGCGCCCGCCGACTGGGACGAGGCCACGACCTCCATCAAGTTCCTCACCGGGACCAACGGTCGGTGCCCGCCCGGAGTGCGTGATCGTCCCGTTCCGTGCTTCGCAGCGCTAACTTTGCAGTGTGCCAGGGATCATGATCTACCCCGGCATGGCGGCCGCCCTGATGCTGCTCTACGTGCGCGTGGGCGTGCACTGGCCGTGCGTCGCCGGCGCCATCAAGCGCCTGGAGGCTCGCCTCGCCAGGGGCGACTACCCCACTGTGAATCTGGGGCCGCAAATCCGATGGGTCACCATGGCCTTTCTCTTCGCCAGCTTCGTCAGTGAGTACTCCACAATGTGGGTCAAAAGAACGCGCTATATTTGTCTTGTCAATGTAACTGCTTTACAAAAAAGTAAAAATTGGATTCCAGTTGAAATACTTGTGGACACCGTTCCGTACTGCCTCGGGGTTATCCGGGAGGCGAGGTTCGAAGGAAGCAGCGAGTTTATCCGCGAACTCTTCTTCACAACCATCCCGCAAGTAATGCCACACTGTAGTACCTGTCGCCGTTTGACTGCATTGTACCCTGCGTCATTTTCGTGCCCTTTTGTTCAGTTCCGGAACTTCCCGAACGCCTACAGCACGGCCCTGGCCCTGTGGTGCTTCCTGCTCCGGTTCCAGACCAAGTGCGTCATGGTGTACAGCGACCTGCTGCTGGGGACGCTGAGCTGCGTCCTGGCCGCGCTGTTCGCGTCCGTCAAAGAGCGCGTCCGTGCCGGCGACTTCGAGGTGGCGTAGTGCTTCGTCCTGCTGAACCCGCCGCGTTGCCGGACTCTGACAGTGTGGTGGGGGCAGACCATGACCGACAGGGACTGGCAGGACATCCGCGAGACCTACAACGCGGTCCTGGACCTGACGGCGGCGTTGAACCGCCTGCTGGGCCCCATCATCCTCATCTCCTACACTTCCGGGCTGTGGTTCATATGCGGGGGCATCCTGCTCCTGCTCGCCGGGTACAGTTTTCCCAGTGGTGTTGCTATACAGTTTTCCTGTTTGCTGGACCTGCACTGTGCAACCTGTCCGCAGAGGCGCGACCGAACCGTCGAAGCAAGTCTACCTGTTCCTGTCGATGGTCTTCTGGTCCGTGCGACTCGTCCTCGCCACGATCGCCATGTCCTCCGTGTTCGAGCAGAACAAGGCTTTCCGTCGCCACCTGCACGCCGTGCCGTCCGCTTTGTACGGCTACGAGGTGAGTGGCGGTGTGCCGAGAAGCGGCCCGAATTTCCCGTTTTCTAAAGCGTTTTCAAACGGCAGGTGAACCGGCTCACCATGCAGGCGTGCCACAGCGAGGTGGGCCTCACGGGGATGGACTTCTTCACCGTGACCCGGTCCGTGCTGCTGACGGTGCGTTCTTCCACCACGGTCCGCTCACTGACACTCCCACGCTCAACCTCATCTAACAACGCACTGCTTTGCCCTCTCAGCTGGTGGGCACTGTGGCCAGCTACGAGGTCGTCCTCATGCAGTTCAGCAGGTGACTGGTGCACTGCTGGCACTGCCTCGCCTACCTGCGGCTGCCTGCTCCCTGCGCTGCGCGACCCTGCAGCTCCGCGCGCCGCCTCACTGAATAGGGTTCGCGACGCGGCTGGCTATCGACCTCACTCACCTCTCGTGATTACAGCTCCACCTTCCGGTGTCTGTCTGTCTGCCTGCCTGCCTACCTGTCTGTCTGACTACCTGTCTGTCTGACTGACCACGTGTTTGTCTGTCCGCCCGCCTGTCTGTCTGTCTGTTTATCTGTCTCACAGTGGGGCTGACACTTGCTAAATACTTTGTTGTCGTGTTGTGCCGGCCACGCCGGCCACGCCGGCCATCGCTCAACGAGCCCCAGTGACAGGTACTTCCCGAGGAAGTCGGGTCTCACAGTCGCCACAACAAGGTCATTCCTTTTATTATTCGGGCAAAATCGCCCGCAGACAAAAAGAATTGGGGTGAATACAAAATGAGACACTCTGGTTTCGGTGGACGCCGCGACACCGACTGGAGACACGTAGTGAGCCCGCAGGCCTCAAGCCGCAGGCCCCGCACAGCCAAAAATGACATATCACAAAATGCACGTGGCGCGCTCCGCCGCTCGGCCGCGCCAGCCCGTCAGGAGACCTTCTTGTTCCCGTTGAACTGGACCAGCACGATCTCGTACGTCGCGATCGTCCCCGCCACCTGCAGCACGCACAATCGCATTGAAGAAAAATTAAAAAAAAAAAAAATTGGTTGAGACTGCGAGGCAGTGGCGCCGCTCACCGTGAGCAGGAACGAGCGGGTGACGCTGAAGAACTTGAGCCCCGTCAGGGCGATGTCGTCCGTGGTGGCCTGCATGATGAACCGGTCCACCTGCACGTCACGCATTTTCCTTCAAGTTCTTCCCACTTATTTTTGGGGGATAAATTTGGAGTGAAGCTGGACGCACCTCCTCGCAGTAGCTGCCGGACGACACCGAGTACAGGATCTTCTTGACGTTCTTGCTCTCGTCGTTGATGGAGGCGGCGAACAGCGACACGGCCGCCGTGCGCAGCACGAGGAAGCCGAACGAGTACGCGAAGTAGAGGCTCTGCAGGGTCGACGTGTTGTTGTCTTGTCTGAAAAAAAAACAACGTCGCCACTTTAAAAACGAAAAATCCCGCTCCAATTTTTTTTTGGCATGAATACTCTGGCCCACTCACTTGACGGTACGCAGCAGCTGCATGCAGATGAAGTACAGGTTGTTCATGAAGGAGAAGAGGATCTGCACGCACAGGATCTTGTCCACCTCGCGGGTCAGCACGGCCAGGGAGTTGTACATCTCTCTGGCGCGCTTCCAGAAGGTCACCGTCTTCTCCTGCGTAAAAAAAAAACGGGGGGGTTACTGCGAATAGCGAACGTGACTGAAAACACAGTGAATTGCTTAACGTGTACCTCGCGCGGACTGTCGTGCAGCTTCTGGTTGAGGAGCTTGAACCGCTGCGCGATGGCGATGCTGGTGAGCATGATGAACAGGTCGTTGTAGTTCCACATGAAGGTGGCCGCCGTGTTGAGCGCCTGGATCACGACCAGCAGCATCGGGCTGTACGGGAACAGGAGCAAAAGCTGTAAAAAACACACAGTTTTCATAAATAAAAAGTCAAAATAATAATAATTTTAAAGAAAACATGAAACTTGTGTCATCTTTTTTATTTCAATGGAAACCTTACATGGCTGTAGCTGCCGGCAAAGTAGTCGTAAAGAAATTCGCTGAGCGATTTGTACTTCTTCAGGTCCATTAGAAATATGCCTTTCATTACGGCCAGGGAGTACTCGACTGCAAGCAAGGCGAAAAAAAAATAAAGAAAGAAATTAGTGAAGTAACAGCAGGGCATTGTTCCGAGCAGTGTACTGACGCAGCGCGAGGCTGAGCACGGTGATGGTGACGCCGTGGAGGCGCTGCCGCAGGCGGGGCGGGTGGCCCACACTCTTCATGACGTGCTCCACGCGCCGGAAGACGACGCACATGCCGCGCCACTGCACGGCCAGCCGCAGGTACAGCACCGACACCGTGGTGGCGCTCACGTAGAACACCCACGAGCCTGGTTCAACCGTCATTTTTGTCAAGACAAGCCTCTCCATGATTTCTGCAAAAAATCGACTGAAAATTTAGAACAGTTGGAAAATAAGTTGTTGTACTACTCACTGGACGCCGTGAGGGTGTTCTCTTCGCTCCGATGCCGGACGACGTAGACGATGGACAGGATGGCGTTGCAGAAGAGGCCCAGCGTCACCAGGGCGCTGTACAGGACGCGCAGCGAGGCGACGCGGAACCTGCAGTGGCGCAACACAGATTCCAAGTGAGGCGTGTGGAAGGTGCCGAGGAATAGACCTCGGTTCGTCTCGGGCACCTTGGCACAATGTCGGGCTTGGAGGACGTCGGCAGCAGCGAGAAGCACTGGCCGATGAGGACGGGCAGGCGCATCGCCGAGCGGAAGGAGTCCCGGTGAGGCGCCTCCAGGAGGAGCTCGTCCTCCTGCTGGCTGGTCAGCCTGGCCAGGGTGCTGGACAGAGAGGGAGAGAGAGGGAGGGAGACAGTCTTGCCACCGCCACGCCAGTCCCTCTCAAGGCCGAAGCGTACTTGAACCTGTCCATGGCGGGCCGCAGCTCGCCTCGCGAAGTGTTTCGGTCGTCGGCCACCCTGGGCACGGCGCCGTCGCCGGCCGCGCCGCCACTCAAGGCCGCCGTCGCGACTGAAGGGGCAGAACGGACAGGGTTTCAGTCGGGGGGCGTCCCTCCTCCACGTAGTTTCAGTCTCTCCTTCCCGTCACTCACACTCTTTGCTCATCAAGTCGAGCGCGCTGAGCTTGGCCATGGTGGGCGTGTCCCTCCTGTACACCACCATGTCGTCGACGTCGTCCTGGCCGAGGTTCCGGAGGTCGTCCAGGGGCAGGGACACCTGCAGCAGCAACAGCAACGCCGTCGTCAGCGCCCCGCCGAGGCCCCTGCGGAGAGCGGGATAGGCAGTCCCGCCGCACGGCGAAGCAGGGCGTGTTGCCTACCCCGCGCTTCGCAGGCGGCAGGGCCGGAGTCGCCGCACAAAATCCGAACGATGCGTCAGAGTCGAAAGGGCTGCCAACCTCAACCTGCTGAGGTGACTTCTCAAGAGCGGAGCACGGACCTCCTCGCCTGGTAGGCAGGCAGAGGTCGGCCACCCTGGAAATGTTCGCCCACTGTCGGTGCGGCGGTTGGGGGAGACAGACGCGCACCATCACCACCGCCTCCCTCCGCCAGGCGTCAGGCCTTGGCAGGCCTTGTCAGGGCATCTCGAGTCCGCCGCGCCGGCCGCCGTCGCCGCACGCCGCCCGAGGGTTACTACGGGGCTGGCGCAGCCTGGCGCCTCGATCGCACGCAGTCTGCTCGCTTGCCCCGGCTTGCCCGGCCCAGTGATACTGCCCCCGTGCGGCACCCCCGCAGCAGTGCAACAAGTAATCCCATCCCGAGTCGGCCTTCCTGGCCGGCAGTCGTGGCCGAGCACGCCGAGGACGGCGAGGACGTGCCCAGCGCTGCGCGCGCACGCCATCCGCCGAGCCACCGCCACCGGACGCGCCGATGCGTGTTGGCCTGCTGGCCAGCCCGTCGGGCCATCGCCAAGACTGGGCACACACGCCATTGACACCCGCAAACACCTACACTGCCCACACACACAGCCACACAAATCGATGGCCCCTGTTTACAGAGGGCTGTGCGAGTCCGCGCTTGCTGTGACGTCATCGCGGCGGCAAGCGGCGATCCGCGCCGGGAAACTGTAGACTGATTCCGAGAGTCGCTTTCGCCGCTCTGTCTAAGGGGACGCCCCATGAGTGCGAGAGAGACAGAGCGACGGAAGCGACTCTCGGGAGCAGGCGGCTGGCAGAGAGAACAACCCACCTTCTTGGAGGCGCGGAGGCCGCGGCCGGAGCCGGCCTGCTGGCGGTCGGCGGCGGCGTCCACCTGGAGGTCGCTGGCGGCGCGGACGGTCCCCGGCGGCCCCCTGCGCTGCACCGCGGGGGCCATGGCAGTGTCCCGGTCGTGGCGCCGGGCCGCGGGGCGTCGCAGGTCCGAGGCCGGGAACGTCTTCCGGCGCCGCTGCTCCACCTCGCGCTCCGCCCAGGTAGTGGTGGCCGCGGCAGGGCCGAGGTCACCCCCGAACGGGGAGCCCGGGGGCTTGCCCGGGGGCGGGGCCGGCGGCGCCGAGTCGGCCGAGTCGGCGACCATCACGGACTAGGGGCTGCGGGGGCCGCGCCAGGCCGTCCCGCCTGTCAGGGAACACAACGTGCCGACGTTTTCCCATTTATGGCGGCCACTTTGGCGTGGCCGGGACGTTCGCGGAGCACGAAGCGCGCCAAGCGTGGCCTGCACTGCAGGGCCTCCAGCCTGACAGCAAAACAACAACAAGCACAAGAACAAGCCGCGGCAGTGCGTTCGCCGAAATCGGACCTATTTGCTCGAGGGGGATTGTTTTTGTCGCTGCTGTGTTTTATTATGCACAGGCTAAAGGCCGCCGCCGCGCTAACAATAAGAATCATTCTCGCCGCCGCCCGGACACGAACACGACTGCGTGCGTGCGTACGTGTGTGCGTGCGTGCGTGCACGTGTGAAGGACAATGGGATGGGCCAGCCGGGCCAGCCCCAGGCCAGTCCTAATTCGGAGTTGGGCCGCCCTAGTCCGCTCCTACGAAGGGCGGCCGGGCGGTCGTAACGAGCTGAGCCTGGCCATATCGATGCGCTGAGGAAGGGCTCGCGCGTAGCCAGACCACACACACACATACTCTCACGTGTGTTTACATTGCACGCTCAGCTAGCACAACACTGTCCGCACACATAAGGGATACGCGTTGCGAGGGCGCACACATACAAGCACACACACACACACACATACACACACACACACACACACACAAAAAAAAATACGCACGCACGCGCACACAGTCTTGCTCACAGTCCAGCACTGCGGCATGGCGACGCCCGACTGCTTCGCCAAGGCGGCCGCGCCCTGCATGTCCTCCACGGGGCGCGGCGCAGAGCGGCGCAGTGCTGCAAGGCCGCCACCGCCAGGGGCACCGAGCGACACACCCCCGCGGGTACAGTCGGTCGGCCTGCCCGTCATGGCCAGGGGTAGGGGGAGGGGGGAGAGAGGGAGTGAGAGAGAATGCAGCGCGTTTCCGGTTATCACCGAGACCGGAAACCGGCCCCGGGCACGTACACTGAGCTTCGATAATTGGAGGCGAAGGGCGAGGAGGGCGAGGCTTGTCGTGCGCCACGGAGAACGGCAGCGCACCCTTCCCGATCTCGATATTTCGATATCTCGAAATCTCGAGCGTGTAGGCGTGTCCCTGTTCGTTGATGCGCAGCCCGACTGTGTACAGTGTACACGCTTCCAGTCGAACTTGGTTAATTGCTGCCCTGTCGCGCTGTCGCGCTGCCGCCACACCCTCGGGCTGTCGTTTGCTGTCGCCACGTCGTCATGCTTCCCAGTGCAGGCCCTTCTGTCAACATGCCGCGTCCCGCGCGTCCCGCTCGCAGCCCCGCCGCGGGCCGAGGCCGAGACTCCAGGACGGCGTCGAGCTCGACGTCCCGGTCGGCGTGGGGCTCCCCGGCGTCCGAGCGCCGCGACGGCACGCCGCTCTGGCGCCGGTTCTTGCGGAATCGCGTCGCCTCCGAGACCTCGACGGCGACGTCGTCGCTGGGGTCTTCGTTGGCGTTGACGTCGTCATCGTCGTCCTCGGCGACGTTGGTGGTGCCGGCCCCCGATGACTTTTACGCCGAGGCGCGCCGCCAGTTCGCCGCTTACCTCGAGAACCCGTGCGTGCACGGCCTGCAGTACATCGCGCGCAGCGACTACCCGGTGGCCGTGCGGTAGGGGCGGTGGGAATGGACCGAGGTTCGAATACCGGCTGGAGCAACCTTTTCCTAGCTTTGTGTGCTGCAGCGTGCTGTGGGCGCTGCTGTTCGTCTCGTCCGTCGTGGGCTTCGTGGCGCTGGCCTACCTGCAGGCCTTCTCCTCCACGTCCATGACCAGGATCTCCGTGTTGAACACGCGCGTGCCGCTCGAGGAGTACCCCTTCCCCTCCGTCACCCTGTGCCCCTTCCATCAAATCCTCAAGAACCCGGCTCTCGCCCTCCTGCGCGCCAAGTACTCGACAAGTTCCTTGTCCACTGCTAAAAATGTTTTTCTTTGTTTCAAAAGTTGATTGTTGTTGGGTTCTTTGCAGCGTGAACCTGTCCTCGAGCCGGGCCGCCAACGCCACCCCCGACGACGCCATGTACCTCCGGATGATGTCGGCCCTGCAGAACTTCCGCTACCCCCAGTTCTCCGCGGACTGGGGGAAGCTGGACGTGGAGGCCCTGGAGAGCCTGGGCAGCATGGACGCCAGGGAGTTCTTGGTCAAAGTACGCAGCCAGGAGAGGGACTTATTTCCGCAGTGCCACATTGAAAATGGAATGCCACGTCCCGCAGGTGTTCCCGCCGTGCCAGATCATCTTCAAGAGCTGCCGGTGGCTGAACGTGGTAGTGGACTGCTGCACCATCTTCGACCTGCAAGAGACCCACAACGGCCTCTGCTACGCGTTCAACTCGTGCACCAGCAGGGCGTTCAAGGACAAGGAGTGCGCGCCGAGGAACGGCAGCTCCGAGAAAGGCGGCGGGCTCATGGTCATCACGCACTTCACCATGCCGACCGAGGTGGTGGACACCTCGGTGGTGTCCGCTTTCAGCGTAAGAACAACCCCCTTCCTTCGAGTGCAGCGCCACGCGCGGGGCATTCCGAGTGTGTGGTCGGGTCCTGTTGGCCTGTTGCAGGTGGTGGTGGGCAACCCCTTCGAGGTTCCGCAGCCCGTGGGTGGCTTCTTCATCAGGGAGGACGTCTCCATCTCGAGGATAGAGGCAAGTTGAAGCGGAGCGTGGGTTGCGGGCACGGCCGGCATGGCCAGCCGGCTGACTGGCTTCTCTGCCCCAGGCCTCGCTGTCCGTCCAGCTCGCCGAGCCGGACATCGCGTACCTGCCCTGGGAGGCCAGGAACTGCATGTTCCTGGACGAGCAGCCGCTGAGCATCGCCAGGCCGTACACGCAGCAGACCTGCATCGAGGACTGCCGGCTGCAGCTGATCTGGGAGCGCTGCGGCTGCACCCCGCACTACTTCAGTCGCTCTCCCGACCAGGGCGGAGTCGGAGCCTACGAGAAGTCGTGCAACGCCACGGGCATGCAGTGCATCTTCGAAAACAAATCTACACTGCGTAAGTGGAGGGGAGCCGTGTGGACGAGCACTGCACAGTGGGCCAGAAGACCGGTGGAGGCAGCCAAAATTCGAGACGCGTTTTGAGCTCCAGAGTCGCCACATGGGACTCAAACCGAACGAGTGACCCCACCAATGGATTCCTCTCCGAACGAGGAATCCATTAGTCGCGTCACACGTTCAGTCTGAGCCCTGTTTAGCGACTTTGGGGCTCAAAACGCGTCTCGAATTTTGGCCGCCTCCACCGGTCTTCTGGCCCTGTGCAGTGGCGTCGGACTCTGAGTCAATGGGTCACGCACTTGTGTCTAGGGAGGACGAACAGCGTGCCGGTGAAGAACAAACGAGAGCTAGACGGCCTGAGGCTCTTGGACAACGACACGGGCTACGACTGCACGTGCCCGTCCGAGTGCCAGATCCTCATGTACAGGACGGAGATAACGAACCTCGGCACTTTCGTAAGTGGCACCAGTGTAGCGCCAGTGGCGGTAGCGCCCGGCGGCGAGGCAACCCAACGTACTCGCTTACATGCTTCACGACGGAGCGCGCAACAGAGCCGCCTATTTCTTGGGTTCAATGTTAGCCCTGAGAATGTATTTTGCAGAAAGGGTCTCCCGTCTACGATGACAACGACACTGCTACGACCATCTTCGTCCGGCAAAGGAATATGGAGGCCAGAAATATTGTGTACCTCAAATCACTTCATCGTACTTTCTCAGAATTCGTTGGTGAGGGTCGAGATTTAATTTATCATGATGCAAAAGGCTCTGCAATTTTTCTTATGGTGGCACTACTGTGTTTTTGCAGCGGACCTGGGTAACATAGCAGCTCTGTTCTTAGGTGTCAGCATTTTATCAGTTTTTGAGTTCGGTTTTGTGTCAGTGTCTTGTTTAAAGACGTTATATGAGGGCTTGAAAGCATCAAAGATATAACTCACATTGTTTACTGGTAGCTTCCATTCCTCATAAACATCAAAAAATAACAAAGTACTTTAAAGTCATAGTTACAGGATTCATCTTCTTAACATCTTCAACAAAATAATTAGATTAATGTAGACTGTAGTAGGAAGAGACAGTTAATTTACACACTACTAAGGCATTAACACATTATAGAATATGAAAAATAGTGTAGAAAATTAATATGTAATGGTATTTAAGGTTGAAAGTTCAATTACCACTGACAAAAATTACAATAGAAAAAGAGATAGAAATTGGAAAATAAAATCAAGTTTGAATACAGAGACCAGTTTAAAAATCATGGACCACAAGCAGAACAAGGAGAAACCATCTAAATGTGATGCATAATAAATACATACAATTCCTAAAAGCAAGAGGGAGTACAAATAATTTTTTTAACATTGAAACTGATGGTTTTTTGCTAGCATTCTGAAAATACAGTCAAGCTAAAATATGTAACAAGAAAGACATTTGTAAACTTTATCACACTTATGGAAACACTGAAAGAATCTAATTTAGAGCACAGTATTAGCACCAATAATCGACACTGGTTGCGGCAAAATCTACAGCTGCAAAATGGAAGCCGAGCAGCCAGGAAGGACGAGACAACAATAAATAGCAAAATTCAAATTATCACTGATCCATTATACAATATCAAACAACCTAATATAAATTTATAACAACATAAAATTAAAGTTCAAAATAGATAAGTAAAAATAAAAAAATAAAGGGAATGTTGCTGCATCAGTATACTAGTAACATATAAATGGCCTACTTGAAAAAGATTGCAAGAGTCAGTCTAAGTTTAACAATTAGTGCTTGTGATGCTATGCATGTGATGCATAGGCTATTTATCCAAAGACTATAAACTAACATTAACAGAGGAATAATCACAAAACATTATCAAAAAGAAAAAAAAGTAGTTAACAATGCTCTGGTGCTGAGTTACAGTTAGAATCAATACTTCCTTGTTTTCATTGAGCGATTGCACTAAAATCTAATACAGCTGCACATATAAAAGAAATTCAAACTACTACTTTTGAGACTGATAAGTCAAAGCTACTTCAATTAGTACTAAGTGTCAAGTACACATGTTGGCTGACCTTGTGAAAAAATAAATTGCAGTGCTACCTTTCAAAATGCATTAAACGTCAAATTTCATTGTTTCTACCTTTCACAAAGCATTTCTCTTTAAACATTCCTAGAATGCGATATGCTCATCGAAAGTAAGTAGGTAGTCTTATCAGTCGCATTGTTCCACAAAAAAACGTTGGTAAGTTTGTGACATGAGAACTATCTCATAAATATGAATCTAACTTCTATGGCTTTGTGAGCATAGCAGCTTACAGATGACAGTCACAGATGACAATCACAGAAAACTATTTCGTTGGATTGGTTAAAGCTATGACTTTATCAGAAATGTACATGCATGGAAGACATTTCAATGTAGAATTGTTCCTACTTTCTTCTTCCTAAAAAACTCCTGTATCACATCTGCATAAAAGAAAAGCTTACTAGTAAGTGGGCTTAGGCCAAAGGCATTGAATACACAGTCATAGTGTCTAAGACCACAAGGAAGCACTACAAGGTCTCATGAGCATAAATCTACTGTGGACTAAAACATGTTCACAATCTATAAAATCATTGACTTAACATAACAAAGATAACAGGTACCACTCGAGACAACAAATAAATAAAGGATTGCCCACCTCTTAATAATCAAGGTCTTCAATAAAACACAATGAGTATCATTCACAAGTACAATAATTCAAAATTTGGATGATTTTTTTTCTGAAGTAAAGTAAGAAAAAATAGTGTTGCTACTTTCTAGTCCATGACTAATTTAAGCATTAGCATAGTGAGTTATAGGGCAAGACTCCTGTTCAATTTCAGAAACACCTTGTATGACATAAATTAAGTAAGAAATACCAATCAAACACATGGCAACACCGAGGACTAAGCAATTTTGAAGAATTCTTGCATAACCAAGTTCAGTTTCCAGTCTTTTATTTGCCTGAACCAACTTTGCCACCTGCAAAAGAATCAAAAATTTGAATTACATTAGTGAATCACTTTACACTAAGTGTGCAAAATGAGTACAAGTTTATACTTACATTATCACACATTAGTGATAATTTGTCAACTGAAGAAGCTGATGAGCTAGCAAGAATACCACCATTACGGCTACTGGTGTCTGCTGGAGAACCTCCTGTGGTGCTACATCTTAGTCTATTGATCTCTGTGGCAGAATGCCCTTTCTGCTGCAAATGCAAATATAAGACAGTTACAGTGGGTGTTATTGACTAATTTTGCAAAATCAGAAATAAATGAAAAGAGCAGTTACCTTCCACAGATCAGACAACTCTTGATTAGATATGTCGCCAGATTCGAGGGGCATCCCCATTACCAAAAACTTGTCCTTAGAAATAGACGATAGCTGAAACCCAGCATGAACCATGACTGACACCGACACCGATGCACCAGGTTTCAACACACCCAAACATGGTTTCACACGGTATGTTTCAGGAGATGTTGTTTTCAACTGTAATCAAAAGGGTTAAGGGTTAAGTTTGAATAATAATGACAACAAGCTGAGAGAAGAGGGATGCATTTGATTGGAGAGCAAACCTTGTACGAGATAATCTTGTCATCGGCATTTGTAAGGGATAGGGAACCAGTCAATTCCGAACCTTCAGCATTAAATACTATAAGGTCCGTAGGGCTGATTTTTATTTTTAGCCCTGGAAGAGCCTGCGCTGTTTCTGAAGTAGGAGAGGAGTCAGCTTGATTATCAGCAAAATGAACCTAAAACAAAAAATTTCATTACAAGAACAGAATTATTATAAAGGAAAAACAAAAATAGTGAAGGAATCATAGGAATTATAGATAAAAGGTTTCTTACCTTTTTCTCTCCTTTGCCATTTCTATCTTCAGGAACAAACACAAATTCATAATTATCCTGCCCTCCCCAGGATGCCAAAGCACGCTCAGGCTCGACAAAGTTCTTTAATGTGCTTTTGTTCACAAAATTAATTTTTTTTACAGCCTTTTCAGGCAGCCATGTTTTGATGATTTTGAATGCCGCTGAAATTAAATGTTAAGATCAGAATTCACAAATAGCTGTTTCACATTAAATAGACAGATGGCAATACTCACTGTTAAGAATCCAAGGCATTTCAAAGATGAGGATGTAGTTCAAATAAAAGGGATAATACATCTTGAACAATGAAATCAGGTACTTGGTGTAATCCATATCCATATTAGATAGGCCAGTTTCAGACATATCAAAGAAGAGAGTGATCATGTCACCTTTATCTTGTCTGAAAAGAAGAGAAAAAAAAATAAGAAAATGAGAAACAAGGTAAGTAAAGTGTTAGTGACCATCAAACGTATGTCTTATTCATTACCTTTCTAGTCGCTCAAACCAGTAGACGAGACATTTCTTCAATTCTTCCAAGTCTCTCTGACCCTTGACATGCTTCTTGCATTTCAAGATAAATAACGACTTGCCATCATTATCTCTACTGTAGCTAAACATACTGCCGTCTTGCAAATAATCCTTCCTCACGGTTTGTTCATTCAAATCTACGCAGATACAGGAACTCATCACAATACTTCTCAATTAGCACACCCATGAAATCATCAGAATGCAAAAACTCACCATTTGTGCCGAAAGTCTTGCGCCATTTACAAGTGTCCCATGCCATCGTCAAGGATTCTTTGATGTCACGATCATTGTGTAGAAGGAAACGTCGGAGCCAGTCATCACCATCCTGGATTCGTGCCAGATCAGCTGGATGGATACCCCCTGAGTGACATAAAAGCAAAAGTCTAAACGTTGATAGACACAACAGGTACCATGCAAAACAGTCGTTTTGAAAAAGGACAGCATTATGACTGCAGTCAAAGTAGCCACAGCACCCAACATGTACCAAAAGGTTAAGGTCAAAGGCAGGCGCCCCGCTCTCGCTCAGTTACCTGGAATGGACGCACCGTCCTCCTCTACTTTTTTCAAGAGCTGCTCACGCAGTTCCTTGATTTCGGCTTGCGTAGGCTGTGCGGGTTCCATGGCGAACAAGTCCCTCTCTGTGACAGGTCAGGTCGGCAGTTGTCAAAGCAGACGAAACCCAAACCGTGAGGGAGAGGACGGTGCGGCGGACTAGGGACTAGGCGGGCAGTGCCAGCAGCAGTACCTTGGACACTGGAATAACCAAGTGAGTTTTGCACCCGGCAAGGCCAGTCCTCGCGGGCCAAAGTACAACCGGGCACTTGATACGGATAAAACTGCGGCCTACACTGTCCGATCCGATCCGCCACTTGACTGCCCAGTGGGCTCTTCTTTCTTTCTTCCACACGCACGGCCGCCTGGACGCTGCGATCGTCAGCTGACGGCCCTGTCGGCGGGGTGGCGGGTTGGCGGATCCGTGGGGCCGGGTCGTGGGTGGCGGCAAAATCGATCCACTCCGCGCGGCTCTCCGGGCAGGCCTCGACGGAACAGGGACCGCGGCCCCGTCGGCGACTTGCGAACAGCGAACGCCCCCGCGACCCCGGGCCGAACCGAGCAGAAGCAATTTCGAGTGCCACGCCACGCGGCACCGGCCGGGCCCACTGCCCCTCGCGGGTAAAGGCCACGCGGGCCACAGGCCGCACCGGGCTCGGCAAACAGTTTATCGGCCTTGGGCGACCAGGATGGGGTGTGAAGTGAACGTGCCAACACGCGCCCAAGCAGCCGGCCTTCGGGGAAAACTGCACCAAGCTTTGCTTGCTTCGCTCACCCGAAACTCTGGTGCATGATTTGTGCGTCGGAAAAGGAAAAGGAGAAACTACAGACAGGAACAAGTATTTTATTTTCACGTGATGCATCTAACGATACATAGGAATGATCATGAACCAAATGTTCTGCTGCACGACGACAGTCACTTTTCGTGATATGCAACAGAAATTATTACATAAAATTAATCGAAAAAAAAAAGATTTAAAAAATTACGGATCAACTAAGATATTCATATGAAGTATCACAAATTATCATACAGACTGCAACAACATCCTCCAAAAATGACTAGATTGCTACGGTAGATACATGCCACCGATAACGGCGATAGTAACACATTGAGAACGACTTCTGCGTTCGAGAGGTAACCGAAAGATGCTCTACACCCTAGACCCTAGAGCTACGCGACGCGAACTCGCACTGCGTTTCCACGACGAGAGTGCAACTTTAGTCCAAGTGCAGTGGTAGAGGTATTGTTCGCGCATGACGCGCCGAGAAAACAGAAATCACACAACCGACCACTTGGTCGCACGCAAGTGTCGCAAGCCGCGGCCGGGCTCGCGGTGCACGGTGATGGTGAGTCAAGCCGACCGTCTGTTCCCGAGCCGTCTCGTGACGCTCTGGCACGCACGTGCGGATAAGCGCTCGGACCTCCCCACGGTCAGCGCGACCAGATTGGCCGTGACGGCCTTCCGGGTGAGGCGCGGCGTGGTAGCCGTCGAGGTGGCCGTCGAGGTGGCCGTCGAGGCCTCCGCCAAGGAGAGCGCCCGTCAGTACAGGTCGGACAGGGTGAGCGGCGCCGTGGTGAGCGGGCTGTGGCCGCCGTGGCCGCCGTGGCCGTGCGGCGACGGGTGCACCAGGTGGTGCGCGTGGTGGTGGTGCAGCTCCTCCAGCGAGGCCTCGGACATGCCCAGCCCGCCGCCGGGGCCGCCGGGGTTGGTGCCCGGGCCGCCGCCGGGGCCAGCGCCGCCCTGGGGGCCGCCGCCGTGGGGGCCGCCAGACGCCTGCTGCCCGTTCTCCTGGCGCATCATGTTGCGCCGCCACTTGGCGCGCGCGTTTTGGAACCACACCTGTCAGATTAGACAAACAGGCAAACACGGATTAGCACTCGACAGAGGCCGGCATCGGCGAAGCAACGAAGCAGCGAAGCGCGGCGTCATTCGGGCGAGGCAACTCGGCCCTCGGCGCGGTCATTCGGCGTTCGATGGGCTGCCTGCCCCACAGGCGCGCGCCCGAAGGGTTGCCTAGTCCGCCGGCGCTCCGGCGAGCCGGCGTGCTGAAGGTGTTGCCTACTCGCCAGGCGCTCCCAGTGGAGGCGCTGCAGAGAGCACGCTTACGACGGGCTGTCCGCCCACAAGGCCTCACCTGGAGGACGCGCTTGGACAGCCCCGTCTTCTGCGCCAGCTGCTTGAGGTCCTTGGCGTCGGGGTTCTGGTTGACGGCGAAGTACGACTTCATGGTGCGCAGCTGGTGGTGCTTGAAGGACGTGCGCATCCGCTTCGTCCGCTGCTGCCCCTGCACGCTGAGCGAGCCCGGCGAGCCGACGCCGCAGTCGTACGACAAGGACTCCATGCCCGAGGACAGGTCTGCCCCATTCATGAAAGAAAGAAAACAGAATTAACTCTTTTTTTTTTTTTGCGGAGTCTGTCCCGTCCAGCCGGAGTGCAATCCGTGCAATCCAGCTGATCCGCTAGCGAGACAGACTGTGACTTCCGAACGGCGACGTGGAGGACAGCGTAGCGGCACTGTAAACCGCAGAGCAGGCCGAAGCAGCGTACCTTGGGGCAGCACGCCGGAGTCGTAGCCCAGGGAGTCGACGCTGGAGGACAGCTCGCCCTTCGCCGCCATCTCTGCGGACAAAAGGGACAAAACGGATGAGCGAAGAGCAGCCTGCTGGAGATACAACGCGTGAGGGAGGTCCCTGGCGGACAGGGTGAAGGAAGGGTGTCGCGGCGCTACCCCGCGCTGCAGGTGGCGGGGGGTATTCGCGCCTTGCGGGGCGCTGTTTCAAGTTCGCGTCTGGGGCCGCGGTTCGCGGAGGTCGCGAGCACCCCGTCGTAGCATCACTGCCTCAGCGGCCATCGCAACGACGCCGTCCTCCTCAACGGTTTTCATCCTTGCCGTTCCACCGTTCCGCCCCGCGTCCTCGGATTCTTCCCGGACGGGACGGCGACACGCCGCGTCGCCGCGTCGCGGGGGCAGGGCCTGTCCGGCCGCCTGCCCGAAGGCCTGCCCGACGGCGACGGGACGGGGACAAGCAGAGGCAGGTGGAGTCGCAAAAACTCGGCCGCATTTCTCGCTACAGTGGAGGCGAGCTCGTCCGCTGAATTTTGCCGGGCGCAGCCGCTGGCGCTTCAGGTAGGGGAAATCAGCAAGACCACGACACCGCCTTCTCTGCGCCCCCGGTGCGGCGATACCCCGGCCCCTAGCGAAGTTATCGACCAGCTTTCGGGCTAGCTTCGGGCAGAGCCTTCGGGCAAGCCCGGCCGCCAGACACACTTTACGTCATTTCGGAAGGTCGCTGGGACAGTGGGGCCCGCCCCGCCCCGCCCCGCGCGGCCACCGCGCGCCGCCCCGCGCCGCCCCGCCGCGACCAAGACCAAGAATGTGTCGAAGTATTTTAACAAGCGCAGCTCCGGCCCGACTCGGCCCAAGGAAGGCGGCCCGGCCCAGGCGGCCCAAAGCCACCCTTCGTATCTCCTCTCGGCCGCCTCACTCTTCTCCTCATTTCGCTTTTTCTCCGCTTGTCGAGGCCCCGCATCGGGCCGTCGCCCTGTCTCGCTCGCACCCGTAGGGAGTGCGCGGCGCGCCGTGAGGGCGAGAGAGACACCAGCCGCGACGATCATCGACAAGTATTTTCGGCCGTCTAGATGATCGCGTTTTGTTGATTTGGGCAAATGAATCGGTATGTTAATGAGGGACAGTGCACGCGGTGGACAGGGCGACACGCTGGCCGCACCGCGCTGCCGCGCTCTGCCTATCGAGCCATCGAGGTATCGCCGCACCATCAGCGAATGATTTGTAGGCGGGCGCGGCGAATACCAATACGGTGCTCATCGACAACGTCCACGAGAACATCGAGGTCCCCGTCGTCCCCGTCAGCGTCCACGAGAACCTGCTGCAGCCCGGCCCGCCACGGCCACGGCCCCACGGACCACGAGCAGCGACATGGAGAGCGTCTTGGAGAGCGTCTCCCTGCACAGCCGCGGCATAGGCAGCCACAGGCAGCCATAGGCAGCCATAGGCAGCCATAGGCGGCGCCATTTTGGAAGTGAAACAAATGGACTCGGCGAGGCCTCCAAGGCGAGGCGCGGGGCGCGGGGGCCGGGCAGCGCCTGGTGCTTGCTGGTGCTTGCTGGCCCCCACCCCACTGCTCGCTGCTCGTCGTTCCGTTCTGTGTTCCGCCTTCCAAGAACCGATTCGTATGGAATGCTGCAGGCTTCTGCTTTTGCTGCCGTTGCCTCCACCATGTTCCCTCTCTCTCCCCCTCCCTCTCTCCGCTCCCTATGGGTTCCCTTCGTGCCCTTCCCTGGCCCTTCCCCTCGCCGTCACACCGGGCCGACCGGGCCCCGGCCTGGCCTGCCCCGGCCGAACAATGTGCCGATATGGCTGATTCCCCTTGTCTTTGCTTTTCATTGTTGTTTTCTTTGCCGTGCGCCCGCCAGCCTCCTGCCTGGCTGCGCGGACCCCCCCCCCCCCCCCGGACTTTGTATGATCCTCTCGGGGTCCCGCGGGATCGCCGGACAGCGCGGCACACTGAAAGGGCGCGCACTTGTTGCCGCTGTCTGTCACTGTCGTCCCCGCGAGTCCAGCGATCCAGGCGCTCGGCAGCAGGAGAGCCTTGGCAGGAGCTTTTCCGTTGGCTGTGCCGCTCTGCTCCAGGCCGACGGACTCGGGGACCTGCTGGCCGCGCTCGCCGCGCGCCTCGGAATATAATCGGCCAGGGCGAGTTCGTGACGACAGGTGCCTTCTTTGTCGTGCAGTGCCGTGCCTTGCAGTGCCGCGCCGCGCCGTGTCTGCCCGCTCGCCCCCAGCGCCTCAGCCCTAGCCTAGCGCCGTGCGCTGGCAACCCGCGCGCGGCCCTGTTCACCGGGCCTGCCTACCCTCCGTTACCATTACCATTACGGGACTGCTTACCCTCCACGCCGTCTTTGTTGCGACGCACGGCCATTTTAGTGTTATTATTTTCGTTATTTTATTTTATCAGACAAAGACAAAACATGAGGCTGTCCTCTTCGGCCGGCCGGCCGGCCGGTCGGGGCTGCTGGTCGAAGCCCAGACAGGCAACTGTGCCTCGCGGCTGTCCCCTCCGCACATGTGTGTGTGTGTGAGCACGTATGTGTGTACGTGAGTGTGTCGTTTTGCTTCTTTTTCGCAATGGAGGTTTGACCACGTCGACGCGAACAGGCAAACGGCTGGACACTCACACAAGCACGAGGTCGCACGAAACCGCTCACGCACACTGTGGGGAAAACTATTGTCGGGGAATTCTTGAGAGCGGCACTTTTGGGAGAGAAGCAATTTGACATTTTGGCTTCTTTGCGAAGCAGGTGCCCCCAAACAAAGCGTGGTTAAGGCGTTTCCGAGGCGGGGCGAGAAAGATTGGGGTTCAAAGAGTTACCAGGACGTTGAGGACCCGCAGCCGCCGCCCGCGGCTCGGACACTGCGTCTGAATTTAACAGTGAAGGGCGAGGGCCGCGAGGGCCACGAGGGCCACGCGGCGCGCGGCGTGTGTGCTGCTCAAACTCACGCGTGGTGGACGCGGCAGCGGGGCAGCAGGCCCGTCCCTGCCGTCCGCGACAAAGGCGTGTTTGCGCTATCAAAACGGCCGACGCCGTGGACGCCGGGGGTGGGCCGGGGGTGGCGCCAAGACGGGGGCTTGTTGTTGTTGTTGATGTTGTTGCCGATGGAGTTCGGGGGCAGCGCTCTGGGCCAAAGCCCCGCGCGCGCAATACGCGAGCACACACACTGTGTGAGGTGAATATTTGATGTTGTTCTTGTTTTGCAGCCGTCGTTCCGCGTTTGTGTTTGTATGTGCGTTCGTCTCAGAGTTTACATTCGCATTCAGCTCGGTAGCCGTGCCCTGGCTGCCCTGGCTGCCCTGGCTGCCCTGGCTGGTGGAGGACTGTCGAGGGGCGGAAAAGCGAAATGCCTACCGAATGCGGTCCTTCGGGAACGATGAAAAACTGAAAAAACACGACACATCGTGTCTAAAATAGTTAGGGAAACGTCGGGGTGGATCAGTTGACTACCCATATTTCTACTCAAGAAAAATTGATAGGAATATTCGGGAATATTATTAAAATGTTGCTCTAGAAATTCCCATTTTTTTTGCCTTTTTCAGTTGACCTACCATTCAGTTGACCGAGCAGACATTTTGAAATTAGAAAATGGAATTCTAAATGGAACTCTAAATTCCAAGTGGTGTAGATGTTCCCCGATTGAATTCGCAGCTCTCCTCTCTCTTCATACTTTGCATGCTTGACGGGGGGCAGCACCGCGGTGGTCCTTCCACGCACTGCACTGCATGCACTGCCTCGCCTCGGCATTCCCGGCCTAGCCTTGCGTCATTTTCTAGGTACTCCCCCACGGCTTCACTCGCCCTCTCTCTCCCTCTCATTGGCACCCGCTCGCCCTTCTCGTCTGCCTCTCTCTCTCTCTCCCCTCAGGCCCGTCATTACCCGGGAAGCAGCGAACCTCGTGACGGGCGGAAGGCAGAAAACACTCTCTTGTGATTGGTCATTCTAGAAACGGAGGCGCGGCTGCGAAGGGCGCCGCACACACACACACACACACAGAGGCAAACGGTCATGGTTACCGTTGAAGAAATAGCTGCGTAAAAAGTGGACGGAAGAGGCCGGCGATGAAATAATGGCACCGTTTCAGAGCAATTTGAGAAAAAAAGGAAACTTATTTTTGGTTTGGCGTGAAAATTGCTTTTGCAAAATCGCACGGCGGGCGTTGGTGTGTCCTAAACCCGCGAAGGCATCGACACGAGAGAGACTCCTAGTTCTCGCCATCTCTATCATGGCACCACACACGACCTCAGACTCTCGTCACGGACCTCGCCGCCGCGGTGCACTGGGCGGTGGCGGTGCACTGGTGGAAGCTCGCTGGGCTGCGCCTTGGCTGCGGGCTTGGCGGTCCGCTGGGCGACGGCGGCCGATTGGTTTCCAGGAACCGAAGGGGGCTTCACGGAATGGAGGTCAGCCCACACAGCCAGACATGTGTAGAGGAGTCTGTTGTGCGCGGGGCGTGGCGTGGCGTGGCCTGGCGGGGCGTGGCGTGGCGTGGCCTGGCGGGGCGGGGCGGGGCGGGGCGGGGCGGGCGGGGCGGGGCGAGGATTGGCGTGCGTGCTGGGCGAGGCCCAGTACAGCATTGGCGACAGAGCGGCTAGATGCTCGGCGTGTCCGTGTACACCCCCGCCACGGTCGGCGCAGACCGGCACCGCCCCGCACCGCCCACGCGGCCCCTTGCCGCGCCGTGCTGTGTGGCCCCGCCCGCCCCGCCCCGCCCCGCCCCGCCCCGCCCCGCCCCGCCCCGCCCCGCCACGCGGCCATTTCCAATAACGCGCCGCACGCAAGGCCGAGTCGACCGGCACGCCAAGGAGTCCTCCTTGGTGGACGTGAATCGCAGTCCCTGTGGTTCTACATTGTTTTGTAATGCTGTGGGTAGGACATAGACTCCTACCCTTGACGCTGTACTCACCCAGGGCCTGCGCGGACAGCCCGGACAGCCCGGACAGGCGCATGGCGAGGTGCTGGTGGTGGCCCAGGTCGGCGCCGATGGGCAGCGGGGACACGGGCGGCACTGGCGTCAGCTTCCTCTTGCGCGGCCTGCCCTTCTGGACGGCGCCCACGATGCCGACGGTGCCGACGGCGTTCAGGGGCCCGGCGGGGCCCAGTGGCCCTGGGCCGGGGTCGCCGCCGTGGTGGTAGTAGGGCGAGCCGGTCGGGGAGTCGCTGAGAGCCAGGCCCGCCATGCCGGGGTGGGCCTCGCAGCACGCCGCCAGCAGCTGCTCGAAGTGCGGCCGGCAGTACGCCTGCCACGACGCCGGCCTCGGGCCGCCCGCCCCCAGGCCCGCGCCGTTGCCGTCGGGGACGTGGCAGCCGCCGGGGCTGACGCCGAACTGGTCGCCGCGCGCCAGCGCCGTGCCGCACGTGGCGCAGGTGAAGCAGTGCAGGTGGAACACCAGCTCGCGCGCGCGCATCACCAGCTCCGACGACGAGATGGCCGTCTGGCAGCGCGCGCACCGCTTCACCGCGAACATCCTGCCGAGCAGATTTCATCCTCGGATCACATCCCCTGTTCGTGCCAATTTCCCCGTTTAAATTGAATAATTAAACATCGGTGAAGTTGCAGGTGGCCGGTGCGGCCCGCCTGCGAGGTAGGCAACACTCTGTCGCCGCGCGTGGCTCCGCGGCGGGCTGCCTACCGCGCAGGCGTTCGCGACCGCCAGCCGCACCGTGAACCAGTTTCATTCCTGCGCCGTGAGCGAGCACTGCGCACTGACAAGGCGTCGGAGGCCATCGAGAAGCACTCCCTTCGGCCCTGGACGCGTCGAGGCGCCGCGTCGGCCTCGTCTCTCCAGTGCCGCTACAGGCTTTTGCCGCGCTTTTGCCGCGCTTCCGACCCAACTTTCGGCCTTCACGGCCTTCGCGGCCTCCTCCGCGGCCCTTGATATCCACGGCGCGATGCCCCACCCCGCCGAGGGGTTCGAGTGGCGGCCGTGTTGAACCTGGCGCGGGCTGCGCGAGGCCCTCGAGGACGGCGGCGGCGTGCTGGCAGCGCGGCGCCTCACCCCTTCGCCGCGCCTTTGGCGTGCCTTTGGCGTGCCTTTGGCTTTGCCGCGCGCCACCCCGGCACCCCGGCCTGCCCCGGCACACTGGCACCCCGGCCTGCCCCGGCCCTCACAAACACGCCCTCCTCTTGCAGCACCAGCGCTTCTTTGTTTACGTATCTCCGATCATCTTCAGAGGTGCTGCCCGCGCTGCCGTCGGCTGCCGTGCTGGAGGGCCGACGCCGCGACCCCCGCCAGCCTCACCTGACCCCCAAGGGGCCCCAACCCCCATGGCTCTCTCTCTCTCTCGCTCCCTCCTTCAACCCTCTTTTCTTCCTTCCGCCCTCGGCCTGCTTTATAGGGTTCTAGGGCACCCCCGCCAACACTTGCCGATGTACCTTTTGTGTCGTTAGACACGCGCGCACACACACATTCTCACACGCACAGCATGGGGATCACTGTCTTGATAAACCAGATAAGCAATCCCACACACCCTCACACACACACAACATCGCGGTGCGCGGTGGCTCAACGGCAGCGCAATTTTTCACAACAAGAAAAATGTTTAATTTAGCAGACGTATATATTTATTTCTATGCCGCTACTGCTGTGCGGCTCGATTCTTTTCTCTTTTTTTTTCAGCTCCCTCTCTCTCCTTTACTTTTTTTTCTTTTTTCTTTTTAATTTCACAGTTTATCCTTGTGTGTGCGATTTGCGGCAACGGCGGCGGCGGCGTCATTAGTCGCACGTCGTGCCATTTCTCTCTAGAAGACGAACACACACACACACACACAGACAAGCGCGCACAGAGGCATCTACCTCTCATCAAAGGCAGGCGAGCAGGCGAGCAGGCGGTGGGAGGGGGAAGGGCTTGGGGAAGGGGACGGGCGATGAGCGAACTGGTTCCTGAATGAATGTGGCGTTAGATTAGAAGCTCTTTGTCGTCCCGGACGGCGCTCCGCCAATTCATCGAAATGTGCGAGTAGTGTACCGAAAGAAAAAACGAGAATGAAACGAAAAGTAATCTGTCCACGAGAATGAGAGAGAGGGACAGAGAGAAAGGGGGGGGAGAAGTGCGTGGCATTCCGACACGGAGGCTCGAAGCTCGAAGGCGGTGCCATGGCGGTGTGGCGGCGGGGCGTGGCGCAAACATGGCGTCGGCAGGCATTGCCAATTTCTCATAAGCCACGGACGGCACCGAAGACGAAAAACCCGACCGCGCGCGGCTGGGACGGGGATCGAACCGCGGCCTTTAAGTCCCACCTGTAGTAGTCCTCCTTGCAGAAGATGTGGCCGCCCCTGCTGAAGCATGTCTGCTCGGAGGCGAGGGTGACGCGGCACTCGGAGCAGCGCAGGCACGAAGAGTGCCACTGCCTGTCCACGGCCAGGAGGTAGTACCGGTCGGCGATGCGGCCGCCGCAGCCGGAGCACAGTGCCGCCCCCGGGCCGCCGCCGCCCTGGACCGTGTCAGCGTGCTGGGCCGCCCCCGCAGCGCCGCCCCCGGCAGCGGGAGGGTCCCCGCCCCCGGCGCCGCCCGCGGCTCCGCAGGGGGGGCTGGTGGTCTCGCGCTCCTTCAGCATGGTGGTGTCCGCCGCCCTGCGCAGAGACGCCAACATAAACAAAGGCAAAGACAACAGGGAATTCCGAGAAAATGGCCGCCGCGTCCTCAAGGCGCGGGAGTGAGATGGGAGGATGCCGTTCGAACCGCGTCCCAGCCACCGTCTCTCTCTCTCTAATTTGAACCGTGACGTTTATCCCCGCAGTTTGGTTTCCAATAATGAGGGATTTCGACGGGGGGTGTTGGCGAGGCTAATTACAACCGCGTGAGAGTGAGCGAGAGGGACAGAGGGACGGCAGTGATTACAAGCAGGCCGAGGAGGAGCCGGTGCGGGGGAGCCAGGCAAGCCAGGCTGGCCGGACGCAGCCATGGCGCATGGGGCGGCCCGCGCGCCCAGGTGACATATGACTCCCGAGCATTAATAGCCCGGGTTACACCGAATAAAATAAGTGGGCGGGAGCGGGACCGCGCCCCCCGCCTCATTTGGCCACTGCTTGGCCTCCCCGGCGCACTCCGTCATGTCCGGCCTGCTGGCCGCGCTATCGGCCGCCGTGCACGCCGTCGATGGATGGACGACGCCTGCGGGCCGCCCCATGAGTGCGAGAGAGACAGTCTAGGGATGAGTGACTCAAGGTTAGGGGCGTCCACAGAAGCTTTGTCCCTGCAGGATGATTCCGAACGGTGCTTCGTCGCGCTGCCTCTCTCTGTCGCGCCGCGGATGCCCCGCGAGTGCGAGAGAGACAGCGCGCGACGGAGCATTGAATCAGTGCACTGTGCCGGGCGCCACTAGACGAGGCCCACTCCCCTTTCGCGTTTCGCGCGCTTTTTCCTTTCCCCGCTCGTTTTTACCAGTGTAGCGCAGTGCTCCGTGGCGGGGCGTGGCGGGGCGCGTGAAAGCACATTGTGGTTCGGCCCACATAAATCTCTGGCCATGCAAGCCGAAGACTGGACCTGAACGCGCCCGAGCGCGCCAGAAGAGCGACCAACTGCGACCAGCAAAGCGACCAGCCAGAGACCAGCCAACCGGCGGGCCGGGCCGGGCAGGGCCTGGCGGCACGGCCTGGCGGCACGGCGCGGCACGGCGGTCCCTTGGTCCAGCCGAGCCCGAGCCTTTGCATTGTATGCAAACGGTTAGAGAGAAAGAGAGGAACAAGCAGCGCGCCGCCGTGGGGCTGCAGGCTGCGGGCTGCGGGCTGCGGGGCGTAGATGCCATTTCAAAATGTATTCCAAATGCAATAGAAAACAGATGGCAGCCTCGATACAGCGTTCGCCGGGCAATAAAACAACCGCGGGGCGGAGCGAAGTTTATCCCGCGCCTCCGAGTCCGGCAAGGCAAGTCGGGGCACGCCGCGGCCGGCATTTCAATGCGAAAGACAACGCGAGTTTTGAAATGCGCGCGCGAACCCGCCCAAAAAAGCACCATTTTGCTCGGATTCTGACGTGGTTTTCTGGCCGATCCGCGGGGAAGTCCGCCTTATCTTCATGCACATCCGCGGCGATGCCGAACTTGAAATGGAGCCCCCACTCCACCCGCCCGCCGTTGCCCGCCGGCGTCCGGGAGGCGGGAGGGAGGGCGGGAGGCGGCGGCCGGGGCGCGAGCCAGTTCCGCGCTCCGCCGAGAGAGCGCGCCACCGGTCCCTGCGCCTGGCCGGCCTGCCTAGCTTGCCGCCACCACCACACCGCGATGCGCGATTCGTCGCCGTGGTCCATCCATTAGCAGCATTAGCGGCCGCCGTTTCAGCGGCAAATCGCGCCGCCGCACGAGCAGGCCACCAAGTGCTGCAGGCAGGCGGCCCCCGCCAGCGCCCTGGCCGACGGCATCCTGGCGCCGACGGCGTCCTGAGGCGCGCGGGCGGCCCGTTCCACCGCTCGCCCCCGCCAAGTGCGCCGTCTTTATCACCGCGCTACAAAGAAGGGGCCGTGCTTGGCGGCGGTGAAATGCCGCACACACGCTGCCCGCCAGCCCCGGCGATAAGGCGGTGTAAAACGCCGCGCCCGCCCCGGCAGTGCCCCGGCAGTGCCCAGGCGGAGCGGGCAGCCCCGCGAGGCCGCGCGCCCAGAGCGCAGGAAAAGAGTAAAAGACGAGCCGTCGAGCAATTCGCCACGTCGTAGACGCGATTGATGGCGGAGGTTGGCGGCACTGCGGCGCGCTGCTGCACTGTGCAGCGCCGCCAAACGACCTGCTGTTTCCGGCCGGGACAATTATTCGGCATTTAAAAAAGTAGTGCAACAATGTAGGCGGCATTGTGATGAAGACGGTGTCGTTGCCGCGTAGCCGCGTTGCCGGCTAGAGGGGCATAAAGGAGATAGGCCTCGTGTTTGTGAGTTTGTGGGTGTGTGGGAAGGAAGCAAATGACAAGGAGAGCGCTGCGCTGCCCCTGAGTCGTCCCACACCGTGGTCTCGGCCGGAGCCCCTGCAGCGTAGGCAACAGCAACACACCGGCGCGTGGCGGCCCGAATGCGATTGCGATTTCGCGGCGGCATGGAACTTAAACTTGAACTTGAGAGGCTGGACCACAATGGTTCGTCTGCTATTTTGGGCTCGCAGCTTCGGCAGGCAGGCAACGAGCAAGCCCACCATTCCACCAATCCCCTCGACAACAAAGCCGCCCCGCCGGTCCGCCGGTCTCAGGACTCGACGACGCGGAGACTTAAACGCACTTGGCGCAACGCTTGGAAACGCGCTGGAAGCATGACGACCCGTAGCGAAACAGTGCAGTGGGACTGACCACCTAACTGCCGAGGCACCGCGGTGGTGACGGTCGTGGGTTCGAACACCGGTCCTGTTCCTTTTTCCTCATTTACCTCCCCACCGGTACTGCCTGGCTGGCGCAGCCTCGGCACTCTACTCACCGTTGTTCGGCTTGCTGGCGCTAGTGCTGGCGCTAGCTGGGCTCTGGGCCCGGCCGGCCCTCCCCGCTGGGGCCCTCCCCGCTAGGCCCCGCCGAGGGTCTCGCCGAGCGTCGCGCCCCGGGGCTGGCCGGGGCCGCGCTCGCGATCATCGAACGGCGTGCAGGACGAGGTGCAGGGCGTGCTGCAGGACTTGCGGCGGTTGCGGTGGTACTCATGAACAATCATTGCCTGCGATCATCCCGCATCCGGGA